CACGCACATCACTCATTAAATAAAACTAGTTTTTACGGGTTAGATAATGAGTTATTCCGAAGACGCATTTTCGAAAAGGATGCGAAACGTCAATAAATAAAACTAGTTTTATATTAATACTTACAGATTTGATGAATAAATTTAAATTGAAATATTTTTGTTAGTATAGCAAGGAACAAAAATAGGTTAAGTAAGGAAAAAATAATGCTTGGGATGAGACGTCATAGAATGAATACGGAACAAACCATTACCGAATGTAGAGGGTTAGTGCTCACAACGAGACTGTCTTAACGATACCTTGAGAGAGCTCTTCGGCGCATCACAGACTTGGAAAACTAACTGATTGCTGTAGTCAATGAAGCACAAGATGTCAGGAGTGTTGAATTCGTAGGACTTTTTAATCAATTAACGGATGTTTAAAAGCTGTCAACGAGTCCGTTTACCTTTTAGCCCTATCCTATAGTTATCATATTGTAGTCACACTTCAAAGTTGTTCCTTTTTTATGTAGTGGCAGAATCATTTCGTAGTCGTCGTAGCTCCTGCGGCTGCGGTTGAAATTGATCGAAGTAAAACCGAAGTCTGATTATTTAAATTTTCAAAATAAATACTAAACTATAAAACATGTTTTTATTATTACTCTACCTGATAATTGATTTCATTACTTGTAATGCTCGATCTATCTAACTAAGTAAGTATTCATTTAAAAGTATTAAACATGCTTTAGATCACTCTGCCCAATAGGCACTGGGCATTATTCATAATGCCCGGGCAATGTGATAAATTGATTGGTTATAATCACATCGCCCGCTCTTCTGGACATTATTCTTATTGCCCGGGCATTATGATTAATGCCCGATTTATCACTTAGCCCATAACATATCCACTTCAAATCATATAGATACAATTATTTTAAAACAATGTTTTTTTTGGCCTGTCTATACTTGTTTGAGTCTACGTAGAGATTATTTCGAGAGAAGGAGAAAGCGTATTACTCCACGAAGCACACCTTGAACACCGCAAGCCACGCCCATCACATAATTTTTCTAGCCCTCTTAATGCCCTTTAATCTGGGTTCAGCACCGAACTACACAGAGACCCTATATCTATTGGACAATCACTAGCGGGAGCGCTGGGAAACATAATTGTCCAAGGCTTTGGACAATTTTGATTCCCAGCGCTCCCGCATTCTCGGCATGCTTTCTGGGGACATCAGTCCTCCTCAATTTCGGTGTGGGTGACCGGTGCAAGATTATTGTCTGCGATTTTAGTGGGACGGACCCTGCTCATTTTACTGAGCCCTGAGCTGAACGAAATGGGCAAGTAAGAGTACTCCCATATCCTCGTTTGTAACCTCCGGTAGCGAGGAAGGCATCACGTCTCCAGACAAAAAAATGCTGCAGAGTGTGAATTATTATTGGTCACAATTTCTCAAACCGACTTTAAGCTTTACTGTTTTGTCATAAGGCGAAGTGTATGTAAAAATAAAAGAATACAATTTGCTGTATTTTCAAGAACCGAAAACACAGATTACTTAATAGTCCGAGACTCGAACCTGAGGGGGTCGGCTCAACTAAAGGGCGTCTCTGAGACTAGGACCTCGGCTATAGTTAGTCGTTGTCGTGGGCGGTAGCCGAGAGCTTTTAATTTATTTCTTTTGGGTACACGAGCGAATGATTAAACTAACAGAATGAATACGCCTGTGAAGTTGGAGCAAGTCATCACGGGAGACCTGCCTCACGCAGCACAGAGCAGCCTCTATAAAATAACATGATACTGCATGCGTGGCGGCCAGTTATATTCGCTAGCAATGTAAACGAGTGTTCAAACATGAGCAACCAATAAGGGCTGACCGCGGCCGTTGTTTGTGAGACCCATAACGCAGGTCGCAGCTCACGCTCAGAAATTTAATAAGAATGGAATTAATAAAATGCTGTACATTTGAACATGTAGATAACTTTCGTATACTGAGAAGTGTAGAAAATAAAATCAATATTACGGGATTCCAAGTTTATTTCAAAATTAAAATACATAATAAAATTAAATCTTAATTATCTAATTCAAACTTATCATTTCAAATCATACTTATGGCAAAAGATAAATTCAAATATCAGACTAATGTTTTCCTTGATTGGATTTTAATTCATTTCAATACTTATTTATATACTTAATTATTTGTTTCACTAGCGAAATCAACTACTTAAATGCGAATAACATTTTTTATGAATATGGAATGATATTATTTCCTTAGAACATTTTCGGTAGGTATAGGTGGCGGCAAACTTCTTGAGCAAAATCTTTTATGTAAAATTATGCTAAAATTACTACTGCGTGGGCTGCGTGGTCTATGGTCGTTGCTTAACCTTTAACTATGGACGTGCGGTCTCGCAGACCGCTTGCAGTTTGTGATTCTTGTTCCCCCCTCTTCCCGTGTATGCCAAGCCTATGCCAGCCTCAGTAGCTTCGGTTTTAGTGGCGAAACGACCGTTAAGAGTGAAGTTTACGTCGCTGGCTGAATGTTGAGTGAGTAATTTTGCTTTATATTTTGAGTGCGGTCTGTGAGACCGCGCGTCCACGTTTGTGTTATAAATAAACACTGACGGAGATATTGTTTGTTTTAGATTTTGTTTACTAAAATGTCAAAAAACGAAACATAACGTATGAAAAATAATAAAAGAGAAATACTGAATTTATTTTGGAGATAGATTGCTTCAACTTATTCGGATTTACGAACGACAAAACTATGTGCTCTCGTGTGCCAAAGAAGAATAAAGCTGTGCTCTTGATTTCATCTATGCTTCGTATAATGCTATTTTTTTTTTCACGCTTGTTAGTTCTTTATTTACCACACAGTTCACACAGGTCTTTCTTCAACATACAATAGTACAATCACTATACACTAGTACTACTAGTTACACGCCACTGTTGTATAATGAGGGGTATTAAAACACGAATCTGGGTGATAAAAATATCACATGAGTGTTTTAATACCTAATTATATCAGTTGCATACAAGACTTTATCTACACCCATGATATGAATCCTCTATAAAAGATTCTGAAACCATGGGGAGTTTTAAGAACTTAAAATTTAAGAAAAATTTCGCCGCCTTCGTATTGCAGAGCGCTTAAATGATAATGTTCTTTTTTGGAAATTCAAAATACCTACCACGAATCCAGCAGTGGAAATTGTGGCTGTCTAATAAGAAAGCCCTTGGCGCGGAAGGGATTTTAAAAGAGAAGGAGAGTTAATATGAAATTTATTAAAAAAAACATTATACTACCCAAACTGATTATTACAGACTATTGATGAAGATATAAAGCAACCCGAGATAATATTATTCTATAATTCCACCAAAAGGGGGGTAGATGAAACGGACAAAAAATGATCAATTTATACGAGCAGTCGCCGAACAAGTAGGTGGCCTATGGTGATTTTCCAAAAAGTTCTGGACTTGTGTGGAATTAAAGCCTACACTTTATTCAATCAACTCCAAGACAAAGAACGAGAAAGAGGTAAATGTCTGAAGAAATTAGCATGATCTCTGGTGATTCCACATATTCAAAGACGAGTTATAAACCCTCATTTGTTGAATAAATTAGTTATGACGCCGAAACGACTTTTAGATTCTGGTATGACAGCCCAAGAGTCACCAAGTGCAAAAAAATACTACTACTACTCGTGTAGGCTGTAAGCAGCCAATATGCTTATAATGCTATTGGCAGTCTTTGCATAGCGGCTTACGCTATGCAAATACTGCCAATAAATATGACCAAGTTGGGCCCTTGTCGAAATTTTTATGTTTAGTTTTGAGAAGATTATGTTAAGTTTTTTATATTCTTTGTTCTTTATATTTTATTGTGTAAGAAGTTAAACTATCTAAAAAAGTCATTTTCCTGTGGAAATATATATATAAAGTGATCTCAAGCTAAAAAGTCTCAAAAGTGCCTTTGATTGTTATATTGTTAGATTTAGTTTAAAATAAATAAATTTTTTATTAAAATTACATTTTTTATTTACATTTAATAACACTTCTAAGGGATAACAACAAAGAAATATACTATACTTACTCATCAAAATAGAAACCAGCCCGTAAAGATAGCGGTCCGTGAGACCGCACGTCCATAGTAGTGTCACAAAAATGGAACGTCCATAGTTAAAGGTTAAGAAGTTTGCCGGGATGTATAACTAAGTACTTGGTATATGTAAATATTGTAAACAAATAACGCAATGTTGATTGTAGAATTTACTGACATTCATAATTCAGTTTTAAAATTATTTTGGGTATTTTGGCATTGTGATTAGTGAAAGATAATTCAACATAATGTCAGTACTAAAAATGGAATGTCAGGCAGGTCAAACTGTTAATTTTGGGGTAATCTTGAAGCAACAAAACAATACACAATTTAATTTTAGGGAATTCAGTTAAAATATGGTAAATATTATGTAAAAATATAAATTCTATAAAGAATCTCAATAATTTCCTATTAAATACATTTATCATATTTGAATTATTAAGTATACAAATCTATATTTAAAAATATTTATATATGTAGTTAGTATAAGAATGTATATTTATAAAAAAATCATTGTAAATAATAGCTGTCACAATCTCAAATTCTATTTATGCAATATTCTGTATATTCATACATTATTAGGTACTTTTGTAAAGATTCAGCTCTATAAAATTCATTTTAAAAATAAAAAATCAACAAGATCAAATCAATAACCGTTGCTATACAATTTTAATCTTATTTTCTCAGTCTTTGAAGTTTATACAAATGCAGTAAATCTAATAAAACGCCGATCATTTGAACTATTAAAATTAAAAAAAATATAACTGGATATTTATTAGAAATGCATCGACCTGCATTTCTAATAATTCGAGACAAGGCTTCCTCGAAACTTAAAACACAAATAAAATACGTAATGTAACAGTTGAGGAAAGGTTTTTCATTTTAAAATCTTTCTATGGCTAGTGACGCGTGATCATATGAGTTATTTTACGCGGAAAGGTGTTTTACTCGTTCCAGGAGGGCATCGCAAGTTTTCTTCGCATCTCCGAGCAACATGGCAGTGTTGGGATTGTAGAAAATGGGGTTGTCTACTGCTGCGTACCCGACGCCCATTGAGCGTTTCATCACCACCACCTAGAGAAACAAAAACGATAAAGTGTAATCTCGCACAACAAGGGCGTCGCCAGCTTATGACTAAGGGGGGGGGGGGGGGGGGGGGGCAATGGGGCAATATAATAGGTAAGGAAGTCAATTGCTCGCACTTTGGTCGCTTTGCGGCTAGCTACATTTGATCTCTAGGAGGGGGGGGGGGCAACTCACCCCCCCCTGCACCCCTCCTTGGCGCACAATACCATCTACATTTTTTTATAGTGAGGTTGGCAAATGACTCTACCCCACCTGATGTTAAGTGGTGGTAAAGTCCTATTTTTGTGTCATATGATTCATATCTTCCTCTCTTCTTTAAAAAGAGTTAAAATAAACCAATGAATGACTTAATTTAACGATAAAAGACAATAATATAATGGAGCATAGTGTTTTTATTACTTTATAAAGTCGTATGATTATTGCTGATTGCTGGATCTTTCGTAATATAGACACTGGTGCCAATTCTGGCGTCATTCTCTAAACTTAAAACTAAATTTAACATCAGTCTCTCCTTTTCATTCTGTATGGAGAATGACAAGGATATACTGCTGTCAAATTTAAGTTTAGGTTTAGAGAATCACGCTAGAATCGACACCACTGACATTCTGAATATCTCTTGACGCTAATAAAATTAGTTGTACAAACTTTTCGATGAATGACAGTTTAGTTGAAGAAATCTACACTTATAATAAATCTGTAGAGATGTCAATTCTGTACATGAAATATATTTTTAAAATAACTATCAGGGGGTGATTAGTGATCGATACTGATGCCAAAAATGCAATCAGTAAATTTTTTGTCTGTCTGTCTGTCTGTGTGTATGTTCCTTATAGAAACAAAAACTACTGTACGGATTTTAACGAAACTTGGTACAATTATTCTTCATACTCCTGGGCAGGTTATAGTATACTTTTCATCACGCTATAATCAATAGGAGCAGAGTAGTGAAGGGAAATGTTGGGAAAACGGGAGAAGTTACTCCATTTTGTGTGCAGCCTTAATGATTAAAGTTACATAGAAATCATGTATGACGGAAATATTCTACATAAAATTGTCTAAAAAATATCCCGCAACAGCATATGTCTATCTTTTAACTCCCGATAGCTTAGCAGTTCGGAGCATTGTGATCATATTTGTTTACTCTTACGTTTATAATACTCCGACTCATCCCTAATTTAAAAAAGTTAACATTATTACCTATTCAATAAAAACAAAACATAGAAATCGGTATAGAAACACCAAACTATACATGAAATAAGCCATCGCGCCGTCGCACGTGAATACTGAATCATGCTATAAGGATTATTTTTGTGTAACGGTTGCCGCGCTCGACACGGGTCGCGGCGGCGGTAGGGTATCAAAAGGTGGGAGGTCCGAGTGCGAGCTGTCTAAATCTGTTTTCTGCGTCGCTCCACCCCCTGGGGGCGATCGCTTCCGATGAAGCCTTAGAGGCCTTCCCGGTCAGAGGCAGCCCCTACGGGTGTTTTTTAGTCAGTACGAGTCTGGTATCCATGAGGATTTCTCACCTGCTCCCCCGCCTGGGAGGAAACAAAAAAAAATTAAAAAAAGAGAGCGAGCGAGCTTCAATATTTGGCTGTTGATGCGTTCTGAGCGTTCGGTCTTATTGACAGACAATAATTGAGAAATATTGAGAAACCGTGCTTATCAGCCCGACTTTTAGTCTTTAAATAGTTTATTTGAACTTCTTTTGTTGTTATTTTGTAAAATAGGTATTAGTTGTTTTGGTAGTGTTTAAATATTCGTTCAAATTAAAAATTATTAAGCGTAGGTACTTTTATTAATTAAAGTAGTTATAAGTATTTATTTTTAAGTGAAGCAGGTATAGGTAGATAGTATTGCACAGGCGTTTCAGCTTTATTTTCATTTCTTTTATGTTGTGAGTTGTATATATTTCTGGTTATAATTCTATAAGAATATTTTAGTTTAAATAGTCACTTAGATTTTAAGTGTAAGGTAGCTAAAGTTAGGATCACGTATTAGTTGTTTTGGTAGTGTTTAAATATTCGTTCAAAGTGTAACTTAATCATATGGGATGAATATACGATGACCCATCGAAAAGGAGTAGAAGCGGTAGACAGAACTTTAAGGGATATAAGACAAAATGATCGACCAATGGGCGGTACCTATCACAGTTTTATTTTGTGGTGATTTCCGACAAACCTTACACGGGGTTATACCACGGGGAACCCGAGCTGATGAGGTTAGGGCTTGCCTGAAAAGCTCTTATTTGTGGCGTGATATACAATCGGTGCATTTGACTATAAACATGCGAGTGAGAACTGTAAATAACCCGGATGATCGTGAATTTTCTGATATATTATTAAAGTAAATACCTTCACCAAAGATACCTATCCACTGCTACACCAAGGAAAACTTATTCTGACGCCTGAGTTATGTTGTATAGTGCAATCCCAACAACATCTTACATCGTCAGTTTACGGTGACGTAACAAATATATTAAATAAGGACAATTCTTGGCTATGCGAAAGGTCCATTTTAACTCCTCGCAATGACCAGGCATCTGAGATTATGAATAATAAAATACTGTCGAATATCCAGGGGGACAGCAAAGTTTATAGTTCAATAAATAGAATGGCCGATGAACAAGAAACCACTAATTACCCGATAGAATTTTTAAATTCTTTAAATATGCCCGGACTTCCTTCTCATGAAATTTGTTTAAAAATTGGCATTCCGATTATTCTGCTCCGAAATTTAAGACCACCACAAATTTGCAATGGAACTCGGCTTAAAGTAACCCAGTTGCAACAAAATGTAATCGAGGCTCAAATTTTAACAGGTGCGGTGCAGGAGAAACCATCTTTATTCCCAGAATTCCCATAATACCAAATAATTTTCCATTCCAATTTAAAAGAACGCAATTCCCAGTATCGGTGTGTTATGCAATGACAATAAATAAGGCTCAAGGGCAGACTTTTCGTGTTGCTGGAGTAGATCTCGGTGTCAGCTGTTTTTCACATGGTCAGTTATGTCGCTCTTTCCCGGGTTAGCAGTCCTAGAAATTTTTATGTTCACGTGCCGGACGGGTCAACTTTCAACGTAGTTTACCCGGAAGCTTTGTGTTGAAGTATTTTCATTCTATATGTACTTAAGCCTCATGTGAAAGCGATCTAAACAATATTACCAATACATTAACATAATAACATACAAGGAGTTACACGCTGATGGTCTCGGGGCACAGTGATAATAATAATATTCTGCGGTTCCTTATTGCGATATTTTTAACAGTATTGTGGATTGGCATATTATATTTCCCTACTAAAATACGAAAGTTAATCTGTCTGTCACATCAAAACCACGGAACCCTGAGGAAGGACATATGCTACTTTTTTACGAAAATCGACGAAAACGCGGATGAATTCGCGGCCAAAGCTAGTAGAACATAAGAATAATTAGGATTAATATGTTTTTATTGTATGTATTGTTTGTATTGTATAATACTAACGTAACTATACGTAGTTACTATACAGGCTGTATAAAACCTTCAACGAAGTCGAAGGCCACGTATTTTCCACATAATGACGATCATTTTTTTCTTCTGGACCATAATAAAGAAGTACAGTTTATAAAATTATAGGGGATAAATCTCTGTATAACAATATTTTTTTCTATTTCTTCTAAGCAAATCGAGCGTCTTTAATTAGCTGGCCAGCTATAAATACGTTAAAAAAGTTTGTGTTATGTTCCCATAGTAAGCAGTGCCTAAACAACTAAAGATCACTACTATTTTTGTCCCAAATTGAAAGAATACATACAATACATAATAATAATACAATATAATATAAATAAATATAATAATACAATGCATCGTGTATAGTTTAATAACAATTACACTAGTAAGTAAGTTTTTTGTGGTCAATTAGGATGTGTCTTTAATTATGTGACCACCACTCTGTATATATAGGTATATTTATATAGAAAATGCATATTAAACATCCATGATTGGAGCTCGTATTCATCACACAAACATCTATCCCCCCCCCCCCCCCGGTTCGAACCCGGGACCTCTCGAGTTGCGTCACCATGAAACACGGCGTACATAACCACTAAGCTGCGGAGGTCGTCAATCGTCATTAAAAAGACTTAAACACGGACGAAGTCGCGTGCGGCCGCTATTTTTAATATATGAGCGTAACTCACCTGATTTGCTTTCCATACTTTGAGTACAGGCATCCCAGCGATAGGCGAATTGGGGTCATCTTCCGCTGCGCTGTTAACGGTGTCGTTAGCGCCTATTCAGTAACAGAAGCATTAATAACAAGTTCTTGCTACATGTGTATGCGAGTGTGTGAAATACGATCGATATTTGTATTCTACTTACCAATAACCAATACAAGGTCAGTTTCGGGAAATTCGTCGTTAATTTCCTCCATTTCGAAGACGTCGTCGTAAGGCACGCCAGCCTCAGCAAGCAATACATTCAATTGTCCAGGCATGCGACCTTAAAACAATATATTATTAAAGATGTTCTCACACGATCGCTTAAAATAGATACGGATAGAAAACTAAATCACACATCATCAGTCATTAACTGGAGCAAATATAATATAATACCGGAGTAACAATATCACAACTAATCCTTAGTCGTTACTCTGAAAAATGTCAGAAAAGTCGGCACTAGCTCATTTTCGTGAATAAAGTTCAACATCATTATCAGCCTATTAATGTCCCCACTGATCGGGCACAGGCTTTCCATTGTGGATAGGATAGAATAGGGAGATTGGGTTATGACCCACCACGCGAACCCAATGCATATTGGTTATCACCAAAGTATAGTTCATTACCAAAAAATGTGTAAAGATTTGTGAGATTACTTAACATACTCAATACTCCATACAAACATATACTTTTTTGACGGTTTAGCCAATAAAGGTGACAAATAAAATTTTAAAATTAAAAAAAAACACTCCGACCAGTCTGCAGACTGGTCTAGAACCCGCACCCTCCGCTATCGGGGCGCTATTTCGAGTATTTTTTTTCTTAGATTTAACATCCAACAGTTAATGTTTAAAAAAAAATGGATGCGTGTAACTTATGTACGCGCGTGAGAAGTTATACTTCTTTAGCATCATTAAAAATATTTTTTAATTGCATGCAAATAATTAATATTAATTACAATAAAATAATAAAAGGACTGGAAAAGGATAGTTAACACAGTCAATTAAGTTCAGTTTTAATTTGAAAAATTAAATAAATATTCAAAATATTCAATTAAAATCACTACTGAATTTAAGTTATTAGTCCATATGTAATTAGCACTTGTAAGTAACTAAAACACGTTGTGTCTATATAGAAACTAGAAACATGTGGATAAATATTATAAATATGAAAACAGTGATCAGAGGCGACGAGCGTGCCAACATTGTTTTTGACAACGCGATCATCTTATGGAGCTCCGTGGATCGTTCAAAGTACCTTTCGAACAGATGTCTAATAATGGTGGATTATTAACCACTTTGTGTTACAGTGATGCGCGCGCATCTCGAAATTTCACTCACATGATTTTTTCATAACGCGCCCGCGGCTAACTTCATTATGTTACTTTTGTGTTACAGTGATGCGCGCGCATCTTAAAATTTCACTCTCATAATTTTTTCATAACGCGGCTAAAGAAGTATAACTTCAATAAAAAATAGAACTACAGTTGCTATTTCTCCTTTTAAATGTTTAATATTTGTAAAAGTACACGTTTGACATTTAGTATTTAGTTTGGGTTGCCTATAATGCGAAGAGGTGGCGCTGCCTTGCAGCCTCAGAAATACTAAAAAGAATTCAACACGGCCATTAGGGCCTAAATAAACTTTCTGATATAAAATGTTAGAAACTTTTTGATTTCATTATAAACAAACATTTCATTTATCAAGAACTTTTGTGTTTGTGTACGCTCGTACGATTGAATAGTTACATAAATATGGTTAGTGTGTGTGCGTGTTTTTGTTTCTGTGGTTAGAATTTTGAAGTGTGCGTTTATAGCAACAACTAGCTCGTGTTTGTGCACGTATTGCTTATTTTTGTTAGTGTGCTGTACGTGTGTACCACGTCCCCCACTAAAAATGGCGAAAAAATTTGTTCGACAAGTAAACGTTATTGCTTAAAAATATAAATAAAATTTAGTTGCATCATCACTCACCAGCTACAGGATGGATCGCGAAGCGTACTTTTTTTCCAGCTGCCTTGAGCATGTCCACAAGTTCAGCGATGGGATATTGGGCCTTAGCGACACACAAACCGTAACCTGTCAAAATAACATTTATTGTCTGAATATCTACCTAAGCAAAGGTAACACAGAACCTTGCCATCTAATACTTCAGTTGATCTAACGATTGAATGATCTCAAAATGTTCCTGGGACTTCTTCTCCGTTAATTAGTTTTTTTAGAAATTCAAGGATATAAAGTATCCTATGTGAATTAAATAATATAGTTGTTATTTATTATTGACAAATCAATTCATCCAAATATTAGATATTTCATCTGGATCGATTCAGCCGTTTCAAAGTGAAAGAGTTACAAAAATTCATGCAAACTTTGCATTTACAATATAAGCAGGATGGGATACAATACAAGCCCGTGAGTAAAATATTTACTACTCTATACCCTATTATAGCATCCTTCATTACTTACTAAGAGTAGGTAGACTATGGATAGTCTACCTACCCTTCCGACCAACAAAAGATAGTTCTATTAAAGACCATATGAAGTTTTGCAAAAACTAATCAGTGGCATTCTTTGACTTTAAAAAAGTGTCTTTGTGACAGGTTTATCACTACGATTATAACGGGCATTAACAAACCCTTATAGGACAATTTATGCTTTATAAGGGTATTTAGAGACTGTTTTATCACGAAACCGCTCTGTTGTAGAGATTTGTGTTCACTATAGTACTATGTAATGTAACAACGATCTAACAAAGCAAATTATCCTATTGGTGTGTTTTTCTCTCCACTATAACGGTAAAACTAATAAAGATCATTTAGAACCTTTATTGCGTAAATCAGGTGCATTGTGGTGACAGTGAACACTATAAAAGAGTTCTATCATTGTATACTAGTCACATTGGAGGTTGCTATAACATCATTTGATAATAGGTCGTTTTTGTTGTATAAACTTATAGAGCCAAAATGTATTGTCAAAAGCTATTATAAAACAACGAGTCACCGCCAAAACCTTACTACATCGTTTAGCCAGCTTTTATGAGATAGAGGTTTTGGTTATAGGGCAAAATTGTTGGTAGTGTAGAAAGTAATGAAATAACACATATATACCTGGTGTGATAATGATGTTTGAAGCGCGGTGTATGAGATCGGCCACAGAGTCCACGTTTAACTCCGTATGCGTGGCGCCCGCGGGCCGCGCCGACCCGCCCGTCGTTACCCCGTACCCGCCCAGGATCACGTTCGGCAGGGAACGATTCATGGCCTGGTGTAAACAATATCTCAATAGTATCATCGTTTCAGGTAAAAGCTTGATGGCGCAGTTCACGTTGTATGGAAGAGTCAGATTCCACGTTTACCCCGCCTGTCGTCACCACGTACCCGTCCAGGATCACGTTCGGCGGGAAACGGTTCATGGTCATATAAACAATATCCTAAGTTAACATTATAGCTTCAAGAAAGAGCTCCATCCAGCTATTGGTGTATGAGATCGGCCACAGTGTACACGTTTAACGAAGTGGAAGTAATGTATCACAAAAGCCACTAAACGGTTGCGATGGGGGGCTTTAACGCAAGGTTGAGGAAGCGTTGCGGTGATGAGCGTGGGGCAATTTTGAGTTGGGCAACGGAACGCCAGAGGACAGATGTTGGTAGATTTTATGGAGAAGGAGAACTTCTATATGATTAACTCCTTCTTCAGGAAACCTCAAAATCGAAAATGGCCCTGGATGAGTTCGGACGGCAGCGTCCGAAACGAGATCTAATTTATCTCGTCGATATTGTCGATATTCGATATAAGCTAATCTAGCACGTGATGGATGAGAGGATAGCGCCGACGATGGTCATGAGGGAATTGTTCTATAGTGTGATTACTACTGTTTCGGCACCTGTGATTTGTTTATTATAAGCTGACCTTGCACATGATGTAAGAGAGGATGGCGCCGGAGCTGCCGATGAGGGCACCGACGATGGTCATGAGCGAATTGTTCAGCATGAATCCTTCCGCGCACAGAGCCCAGCCCGAGTAGCTGTTCAATACGGTGATCACTACTGGCATGTCAGCACCTGAATACAAATATAAATACCTACAAGTTAAATAAAGTTCGCTTTTCTTCATCGAATTTTAAAAGACATGGCTAAAATGAAAAAGTTTTCAACAAAGGATGTTGAGACTTATTTTTTCAGTGGAAAAATCTTTTAGTCATTAATTTTTGTTCCATATTTGGCATTTTTACGGCGCACTGACTTCTACATCCAGGAAATATAATACTATCTGGAAAGAATGAAGTCAATGAAATATGGTATACTACCTCCTATGGCAGCTGTTAGCGTCAACCCCTGTATACCGCTAAGTACAGCAGCAGCAGAAAGCAATGGCAATCCTGGCACTTCAGGGAACGCTAGTAGGGCTCCGCCACAGCCCAAACCGCCCGCTAGAAGACCCGCGTTGATTGCGTGACGACCGGGGAGTAGCAAAGGCGCCGATGACAACGTGCCTTGTAGTTTGCCGTAAGCGACTAACGAACCACTGCAAACAATACCCAATTTTCAACAAATAAAGATACAAATCATCATTTGAATCGCAGCAATAAAGTTGAGAGCTTCAAAAATGCGTGAACTGAGCTGAGTGAGAGTTACAAACACAGGCAGATTACCTAATATTTACCGCGCCCGATTTCGGTTTTATTTTTAATTTTTTTAAAACGAAATGCGCATTCAGCTTCAAAAATAATTGATGACAACCTTAAAACACTCTATAAATAAATCTAAAAAAATATATACTAAGAGTCTTAGACTTTTTGAAACTTTACAAAACTTAACAAATATTTGGAAACCAAGACCAACATTGTTATTTCTTTCCTTTGTCTAAAATAGGCTAGTTGACCCTTTTTGGAAAAAGGTTTTAAATGGTTAATAAATGTTCTATTAGACCGAAAAAATATGTAAGTATAGTATTTTTTTGAGACCTAGAAAGCTACAAATCTTTAATTTTAAAATAGACTTTTCATGGACATACAAAAACGCTGTCGGCATTTTAGTCTATAGATTATCTATGCTATGACGTTGACGGTAGTAAACAAAAACTCGTAAGCACGTAGAAAATAACCTATCTGAGTTTATAATAAAAAAAAAACATGATTTCTAACAGATACCACGAAAAATATAGTAATTATCATTATTGTATTGTACGAGAATGTAAAAACACATCCTTGAAGACTCCAGGATAGTTGTGAATTAAAGTGCCGAAAGAAATTAACCTACGCAATACCTGGTTAGAACTTGCTAAAAGTGATCCTCATAGTAAAATTTATTTTTGCGAAGATCACTTTGATGTAAGTACTCATTGAATAATATTTGAAGTCTCTTCATTTATTATCAGTTTTAATAATACAAGTTTTAAAGTTATGTATGAATGACATTTAGTTGTTTACTAAAAGAGACGTCACAATCATGGCGGATGTGGCGAACAGCGTTTTTTTAGTGTTTAAAAATTATAGACTAAAAAATATTTTTTTAAATTCAATTTCTACAGCAATCTGCAGCTTTTAAGAAGTGAAATCGATATATTTAGGTTCCTCAGACCAAATACTTTAAGAAATAAACATTTATTTAATACAATTCGACATGAGTCAACTAGCCTATTCTGTCTATGCTAGAAGGTATTAAGTATTATTAAAACTTCGCCGTCAATGTTTGGTTTACATACGTGAACGTGATGCCGCCTATGTAAGTGCCGAGAAACAACGATGTCTTCAGAGTGGCTGCTGTGGGGTCCAACGCCATAGCGGGGAAGTCGTGCATGTATGTGGCAATGCAGGTCAGTACGGCCGCCATGCCCACAAGGCTATAAGAAATTAAACATACTTCTGGAGAAAAGTTAATTGGAAAATAAATCGGTCCAGGGCCCTATTTCACCAAGTCGACATATGGAGCCAAGGGCCCTGGTATCAGACAGGTTACAAACACATTTGCATGAAACATGGCCAAATGGTTTTTTAAAAATCTTTTGACGAAGTACTTTACTGCTAGTTGTTTAAATCTTGAGATATTTCTCTTTCTAATAATGGAAGGGCCTAGTACCAGCTTTTCTGTCATTGATTGGAAGAACAAAGCTAGGGCTGTGTTGTCGTTAATCTGGCCAAACGGGAGTCACGTTTTTGGTAAGACGCAATTTTCCAACCTAGTCTTTTGTAAGCGATTATGTGATAAAGAAAGCGCTCCACTAACTCGTTTTAATGAGCAGAGTATAAGATAGCCATTTTGTTAAAGTTCAAAATAGATTTGGATAATCAGATTTATTCGTTATTTAATACTAAACAAATTAGAGCATTTACAACAGGAGGCGCCATAGCGTTCACTCGCCGCACAAAATTTTTCACCATTTTTGGTGCGGAACGAGGTACTCACGTATAACACACTAATGAAAATATGCAATACTCCCACAAACACGAGCGTGTTGTTGCTATAAACGCACACTTCAAAAATTACGTCACAGAAACAAAAAAACGCACACATGCTAACAATTTTTATGTAACTATGCAATTGTTCGAGCGTACACCAACACAAAATTAGGGATGCGACATTAAAAGAATGAACGATAATTGAATGAACAGATCTTGATGAATGAATGAATAATGTTAGTTTATAATGAAAACACAATGTTTCATTTATAAATATCTATCTGAAAGCTTACTTATAGTTTTAGTACTTATTATTTTTATGCATCAAAGATTTTTTTTGCAAATTATATGGCTGTGCAAAAAATCTTTTCAACTGATTTTGCTGCCCTTTATCGTATACCCTGCCTATATTTAATTGCTTTTACACCCTTAATAATAGCAAACGCAGTTTATTGTCCCAAAACACTGTGTTACTGACACAAGCTTATCCATTCTTCGTTTAATATAATTAGTCGAGTCAATGAAGGTTTTCACCTCCGATTTCGTTGAATCTCCGTCGATTTTCATGAAAATTGGTGAGTAGGTGGGGGATACCTTAAAAAACAAAAGTGACATAGTGCCAACTTGCGTTTTTGCCCTGGGGGTAGATGCCACCCCTTCTCGGGGGTGAAAATTATTTTAATAAAAATAACTCCTAAAATCGATAGAGAAACAAATTCTAAGCAAAATTTGTAATTTAAGGTTTGTGGATTAAATCAATACTTTCTGAGTTATTAAAGATCAAAGATTGTGATTTTTCGTGATAAAAATACATGTTTTAAAGCGGTTATTCATAAAAACTCAAAAACTATGAGTTTTTACAAAAAACGTATTGTTATAAAAATTGAAGCTAATAAAAAAAATAAACCCCTACTTTGAAAATCCTTCTAATATTAAGTCAAAGTGTGCTATAGGTAATTCTATGTATATATAAAAAACAACAACAAATACATGACATGATCTGTCCAGTCAAAGAAATCTGATTTAAAACACCCATGAATATACGTTCGATATTCACCAAGCGGCACCTTTTTTTTCGCGGAAATATAATAATCACTGTGCCAACTAAATAAAATCTTGGGCTCCGTGTCTTTTGAAGTAGAGTTATTTAAAAAGTTATACTTCAATAACACCTATTACCAATGTCATAAAAGTAGCTTAAGGTGCCCACATTAGTAGACCATCTTGTAGAAAGCTATCAGGTTAGCTGCCCAGCTAACTAACTTCTTAATTTGATTAGGTACATAGAAATATACTTACTATCTATACGCCAGTTTACATAAATTTATTTCCCATTATTAAATGGGACTGATAGACAAACAAACAGATCCTCATTTTTTTAGTCTCTCTAAAAATAATAGAAATGTATTAAACTTCTTCTAAAATAATAAAGTTTTAATCATTATACCTTTCTAGTCTTTGGTTAATAATGTTAGATGTAGTCTTGTTTATAAACCAGAAAGACTTGAAAATAATAAATCAATATTTACAAAAGAGTTTGCAACAACTCAAACATTTTTGTGTATGTTACGTGAAACTTACATGTTTTTTTATAGAATCCATCCAAAATATACTTACTTTGTCTATAAGCTATTTATTATAAACAAATCGACTTAACAAAAAATCAAATACAGTAATCAAAAGTCCCATTCATTTATTCTAATTTTTTATGTCATTCATTCGTCGTAACTGCTTTTAAATTAAATTTAACATTATTCGTAAATTCTGACTTTTTATTCAATAAAAATACTTACGTATGATAGGTAACACCATGTTCTCGCTTATTTATTGTGGCAGAACGGTTTTTGCACAATAAAATAGCACAATTCACCATTTGAAATATTGAAATTGGTCGCAGACCGCGCGTGCACTAGTTTTATACAACGACGACGAGGGGTACGCCCGTCCATGCCCTCTCCTGGTATAAATGCTCTAAGCTAAACAAGCATAAGATGATAAAGAAAAAAAAACCTAATTACAAAGAAGGTTGGTTATAAGTGGCATTACTTACATTTGTTTTTATGAACCATAGCAAAATCATAATTCGCTATCACGTACCTGTGGAATCCGGCTACGAGTTGTGGCAAATCGGTGATTTCTATCTTCTTGGCTATGGTACCTCCGATCAGACCGCCAATTCCAGCCACGCCCAACATTTGAACCAGCACTTCGGCACTGGGCGTTAACAGACCCAGTGTGGCAGCAATGCCCCCTGTTACCCCGATCTTAAATGAATGAATGAATATAGTTGATCACTACTTTGTAATAAAATGCAGTTCCCCACCGTGTCTGTCTGTTCGTGTTGATCTCAAAATGATCATGCGGTTTTCACAATCAAATAGGGTTTTTCAATTTTTTAAGGGGGGTTTATTTGTTTACATGCCCGAGAACAAAACCTATAGAGAACAACAAAGATACACTATAAACCGAAACACAATCACAAAAGGGGACCTTAATAATAATAATAATAATAATAATATTCTTTATTGACATACACCTCACAGGACATACAAGACATTAAACATGACAGTGAAAACGTACACAATAGGCGGCCTTATTGCTAAACAGCAATCTCTTCCAGGCAACCCATGACAGTGAAATAAATAAATAAGAGGAACAAGAAGGGGGGGAGGTGTAGCAGGTATGGTAAAATAAATAATGAATAATAGATGTAATAGATATATACAAAGAGAGAGACAAGAGAGAGGTAAGACTTAAAGTTGGGAAAGGAAATAACCTCTAACTTGATCACTAAACGAGCTTAGAGTGCGAGCCTTTCGGATTGTTTCAGGTAGTGAGTTCCATAAGCGAACAGAATGCACAGAGAAGGAATATGAAAAGAAATCAGTTGAATGGAGTGGGACTGCAAGGGTTAGATTTGAAGAGGACCGCAAAGTGCGTTCTGATTTGGAATCAAGAAACGAGAAACATTCTTTTAGATAGGGCGGAGAAGTAGGAAGGAAAAGTACAGAATAGAGAACCGTAAGAGTGTGTAAGTCCCTGCGTCGGCGAATAGGAAGCCATTTTAGTTTGTGTCGAAAGTGAGACACATGGTCATATTTACGTAGATTAAAAATGAATCTGATACACATATTCTGCAGACGTTCCAGCTTGTTTAGGAGTTCCTCAGATATGTCAGTATAACAAACATCAGCGTAGTCGATAATGGAAAGTAAAAGTGTCTGAGCCAAAGTGACCTTTGTACTTGTTGGTAAAAAATTACGCAACCGGTTTAGTGAATTGTATGCGGCAAATATTTTCTTTCTTACCGCTTCCACCTGAGGCTTCCATGAGAAAAACTGATCAAAGATCACACCAAGATTTTTCACCGTACTAGAGAAAGGGATAATAATACTATCAAAAATAATAGGGGGCAATAATCCAAAATCAATCCTGGAAACAAAGTACGGACTGCCTATTATAATAGTCTGCGTTTTTAAAGGATTTACAGTAAGGCCGAATGACTTAGTCCAACTACTAATTATAGCTAGGTCTGAATTGGTAGTTGCTATAGCGTTTGAAATATCAGATAGCGATGCTTGAGTGTAGATCTGTAGGTCATCAGCGTAAAGGTGATAGGAACTGGAAAGTGTTTGTGAGATCGAATTAATAAAGAGAGAAAAGAGAAGAGGAGATAAGACGCCACCCTGAGGAACTCCGGCATTGATAGTGCACCACGCAGAGAAGTTGCCTTCGATGCAGATACGCTGCCGGCGTCCTAGCAGGTAACTTTGAAACCAATCAATAGCCGCTGGAGATATGTTAAGAGAACGTAGAACAGCAAGAAGAATATCAAAATCAACAGAGTTGAAGGCGTTGCTCAAGTCAAGCAACGTCATCAGTGTAAGTTGACGATTCTCCATGCCACATCGAATGTCATCCGAGATCTTAATCAATGCAGTAGTAGTGCTGTGACCGGTACGAAAACCGGACTGAAAGGGGTTTAGAAGTTGGTTTTGGTTAAGAAAACTTGTAAGTTGCCGATAAACTAGCTTCTCCAGAACTTTGGAAAGAAAAGGAAGAATGGAAATGGGACGATATTCAGAAAAAGAGCCAGGATTGTTTTTTTTAGGAATTGGGATAACGTTTGCATCCTTCCAAGATGCAGGAAAAACTCCGGTCAAAATAGAAGTATTTAGGATGTGGGTAATAATGGGAGTTAAAATTTCAAGGATGGGAAGGATCATTTTCCGGCTAATAGAATCACAACCAACTGCATTGGAATAAATCTTTTGTATGGTTCTCTTAACATCACAGTCGGCAAACTGATGTAAGAAAAAAGAAGAATCTTGAGTCGGCAAATTAGAAAGAAATTGCAATGTTTCAACTTTGCGGGATGCATCAAGCGGCATAGAAGTAGAGAAGTAACTATTAAGTTTGTCAATTTCTAAATTATTAGTAGGAGTAGAATTACGGGATTTGCCGACCCCTAGAGATTTTAAGAATTTCCAAACTTTTGCAGGATCTTCATTTTCGACAGAACTGTGAATATAGCGTCTTTGAGCGTCCCTTATCACAGTATTGCACCTATTTCTGATACGGTTATATTTAATTTCTTGGTAGAGATACCTTATTAAGGTATCTCTACCAAGCAACCTTTCGCTAACGAGTTACTTCGTTACAACAACAACTAGCGAGAAAGTATTCGTATCGCCATCGTCAAAGTTTCTATGGAAATAGCTAGTTTATTCTTTCGCCCGGTAGGATCTATAGAAACTTTGACATGGTGATACGAATGCTTTCTCGCTAGTAGTTCGTGCTTGAGGTACAGGAAAAGGAGTACAGCTTGATAGAATAGTCTTTAATTTGTATTACAAATTAAATGAATGAAGTATTGAGTCTTAACAAATGAATGTATTGAAATTCAACTGCTACCAATGAATTCGGTGTGGCATTAGAGGTACATAATGTAAGTTAAAAATTTATAAGTGCATTATATAGCTTTGTGTTTGTACAATAACTTCATAAACCGAATTTAAGAAATTAAAATCGGAAAATGATGGTTATCACCAATTCACAAAACGAAAACTGAACTTAATTAATTATCTGTTACATTGATAATATCTTCACTGTCTTTACATAGGTACTAGATTGAAACTAACACTATAAAGGTTTCAGTGAATTTTGTTAGTGTAATGCGATGGATTTAAGGTATAATTTACAACAGACTAAACAAAGTAAGAAATGTAAGAATTGAAGTAACATTATTGGGTGAAATTATAGATTTTAGAAGCAGTATGATTTTTCCACTGGCTGCACTTCTTATGTTGATAGATTAGCATGAATATGGTATTTAATACATCCTGAAAAACAGAAAATTATGAATAATTTCCGAATTGGATAGATTATTTTATTTTAAGCATAATGCAGTTGGTGTTTGTTTTAGAAGTATAGACGAATTCGAAAGCTTAGAAGTTATCATCACGATTCTCCTATTTTCTTTTTACATACGCTCCTGAAGCAAAAACTACAGCCTCGCTGGAAAATACAGGCTGTTCTAAAAAATAAAGACAAAACGATAAAGGTAGTTTATCGAAAACTAAGCTATATGGTCACACGGAATAGTAAAATTTAGTACATACCATTCCCAGGTAGTTTCCTTTTCTAGCAGTTGTTTGGGAACTGAGACCAGCTAGAGCTCCCACGCAGCACAGCGACGACGCTAAATACGCCATCTGATGCACTTCTGGGTAGCCCTGTTATAGATTTACACAATTATGAACCCATTTGAAGATATAAATCTATCAGTAAAAAGCGTGATTCGCTTGCACACAACCTTGACAGTTTATAATTTCTTTCTATTATTGCAATAGAGTTCAAGAGGTTATCGCACAAATGCGTCAAATAATCGCCTTCTACTGGTCCACTTAATAGCATGTAGCTAAAATGAGGACCATAGACCGATTACGATAAAGACGTAAAGTTAAAAAAATTACTTAATCAGTACAAGAATTTTAGTCACGGCTCTAAAAAGTTAATCGGATCAGTAGATCGATTATCGGATAAGAAAGAAATGCATATTCAAATTCTTATTCAATACATAAAAATAACGATACATTTCAAGAATTTTACTAGAAAGAAATCCACACGGACCAGGCAGCAAATGGGACCCGGACCCTTCGCTATCCGGGCGAATGCACTGACCATTATGCTACCGCGGCCCTGACGCCGTGTCGATTTTTTCTTAGCCTTAGGCTGCAAGGCAGTGCGAATTCGAGTCCCGTCTGCTGCCTGGTCCGCGTGGAATTCTTTCTAGTAAACTTTTCTTTAGAAAAATCTAGCAGTTAAATGCTTAAAAAATAACGATGCATATTATATTTGGTTATTTTTACCAACCTGCATAGCTGTGGTAATATAACCTCCCAAGAGAGCTGCGGCGGGTATGCCATACAAGTATCCGTATTCTGGTGGGTCACCAGGCCTAGACGAAATTAACAAAATATATCTAAAATATGTACTGTCATCTACACACTACTTATACCACATTTTCTGAATGGATTGTGAATGTGAAAAAAATTACAAGCGGAGAAATTCAAAATTAGGTTTCGGAATTTCTAAATAACTTCACCTATTTTAGAATGTTTCGTCAATAATTAAAAAAAGTTATAATTTCCAGATTTATTTATTGGCGATTATTTAAAGATTCCTTCAAAATAATTTCCAGAGATTTAAAAATATTGGAAAATGAATATTTTTTTAAGACGTCTTTACTTCAAGATGATATGTTCTTTATAAACCATATTACTATGATCTCGTAAAAGTAGACAATGCATAGACGATAAAAGTGTTTTTAGAACCAGTAGAGATAATGTCATGAAATCTAAAATTATCATAATATGGTCATATCACGTGACATTACAAACCTCTTGAACATGTCCAACATACGCTGCGTGACAAGGAATCCGCCGAATACGTTCACGAATGAAATCAGAGCAGCAGTACTTGCCAGCCACTGTAAAAATGCAATAATTATGCTAATTAGTTCTAAACTACTACACAGATTATTTATAAAAATCAGGTAACAGACAATGTACCTATATGACAAAGACAGATCGAAATAGATACAGCAAGTATAGTATTCCGCGTGCCAAAAATCTACCAAAAGGGAGACCCAACGTCTTCCTTTTCTTTTTTATCACTGTTCTCGATATGGATGACAGGCGCAATTTATTTAATTGTCTTAAAGTGTCACAGTAAGCTGGTGCTGGTTGCAGGTGCCCATGCTTTTCCACCACTTCATTCGCTATCAAAATATGAGGCGTTAGGTTTTTTATACAATTTGACGCAGATGCGTTGTCTATCTAAATCTAGGTCTGTGGTATATGAACTGTCCAATAGAAATCATGGGGACCCAGGGGCGTATTATGAAATCTGGCACCCCGGGCCATTTACGATTCGTAGAAAGAAGAATTAGTAAATCAAATCAAAATTTAGGCCTTTGTATGGCTTCTGCCACCCCTGCAGCTCTTGCAATCGCCTAGTACTAGTTGCACATACGCGCGTAGGCCTCAAAGAGCTAAGTTGCTTAGAATTTATTGTTAATTGCATACTTCAAAATAGAAGCTAATGTTAAGAATGGTAACTTAAGTTTTGCGATGTGTGGTGACCTCGGGTACGTACCCTCCGTGATACCAGACACTGCGTTGGTGACCGACATCAGGGGCGAATCCAGCGCCGTCACACTTAACTATTGAGTGTGGTGACGTCAAATGTCGGTACTGTACCTGCACAGGAATCTCGGGTACGTATCCACCGCCCATCAGTAGTTAGCCTCCACCCGCCGTGATACGGCGTTGATGACCTACATCAAGGGCGAATGCAGCGCTCTTGCATCCAATCGTTGGGTGTGGTTACGTCATATGTCACTACTGAACCTGCACGGGAGTCTCGAAAACATACCGGCAGCCCATCAGTAGCAAGCCTCCAAGCGCTGTGATACCAGACACGGTGTTGGTGACCGACATCAGGGACGAATGCAGTGCCGTCACACCCAACCATTGGGTGTGGTGACGTCACAGGCCATAATTTTACCTGTACAGGAGTCTCGGGTACGTATCCGCCGCCCATGAGCAGCAAACCTCCAACCGCCGTAATACCAGATACGGCGTTGGTGACCGACATCAGGGGCGAATGCAGCGCCGGTACTACCCCCCACACGGTGTGATAACCAACCACGCCTACAGAGTTTGATAAACAGAAAACATACATGTTTAGAATACATATTCTGGGTGCTTACATATTCATTTTAGGTACTCACAAATGTGACCAGCTGTTATAAGGGAAGGGATCGAAGCAAGCGCGATAAAAAAATTCAAAGTAAAAAATTAAGCTAGCGTGCGAACACAATCACATTAAATCATTTAATGTTAATTTAGCGAGCGTGATTACATCACACATCATATTGGACTCAAAAGTTTCCGTTACTGTTTTGAATTAACAAGAGATTTATGAATTATACATATTATAAACTGTTAATGAAAATCACTGGATCCCTAAAAAACAGAATCAAACACGTATTAAAATAAATCTTTACGAAGTAACATTGATGTATCATGGAGTAAATTCAAATTTATTTATGCTATTCAAATGAGTACAGCGTGCGTCTTTTTCAAGCGGTGGATATGTCATTTTGAGCTTTAACGATTTAGGTATAAGGTTGATTAAGATGCCATGACATACTATACATCTCATTTGTTATTTTCTTCAAATTATGCGAACACTAAATTCTTAGAATTTGAACATTTCAACGAACTACCTGGTCTCGCAATAAAGAAAAAGCAAAGTATGTAAAACAAAGATATTTAAACTAATTCTCACCAGCTAAAGCGAGTGTTGTTGTCATGGTGGTGAAAGCTGGGTTGGGCGCTGCCATGCCAAGTCCGATCAAACTTGCTAATCCTGCAAAAAGTAGAAAATCAAGAGTAGAGAGCTTTATTTTACTGAACAAAGATTCTTAATCTATTGAAGGAATTTGGCTGTTTGTGGTAACTAGACGTAAGGAAACTACGCATAAGGCCATCGTCGTATCTACATTGTGAAGTTGATTTGTGTTAATATATTGCCATCTTGGTTCATCTTAGAGGGGAACAACTCAAACACTTTAGAAAATAACGTATCGCGAATTTGATATCCAATTGTACCTATACATAATGAATACAAAAAACAGTCCGATTATACAGAATTTGACATTCTGTATAATCGCCTGACTCCACTGGTGTTAAAGCCCTGCTTCGCAGTTATGATTAAAGGAGGTAATATTTTCACAAATACAATTGTACAATACAATACAATACAATTTGTATATGTGTAAAAGCAATTACAAGATCAATATTTAAACTAGAGATAACATCCGTTGAGCTATGATTTAACTGTGTACTGTAATTCATGTTAGAATTTGCTTTTTTATCTACTTAGTATTTGAAAACTGTTTTATCTATTTGGGACATTTCATGGTGTGTCTCCATAAACTGTATCTTTACTTACTAGTGGAATACAAGGAGTTTTTCGGTGTATCGTTGAAAGGATTGGGCGGTCATGGGGCTGTGCAGCCTTATACTTGGTAATTGAAACTGTTTACGATCTATTCGTGGCATTTTATCGTCTGGAGACAAACATCATCTGTATTTGCGATTACGAGTAAAATAAATAATAAATCTTTCAGTAACTCGTTGAAAGAATTGGGTGGCGAAAGCTTGGCGATAGACTTAAGGACATATTGCGCGGCCGTAAAATTAGCAATTGAAACTGGTTGATTGAAAATATTGAAATGATCTATTTGAAACATTTCATCGATTCGTTGTCACTATCTGAATTTGTAATTACCAGTAGAATACAAGAAGAAGTATTTCAGTGTTTCGTTAAAAGGATTGGGCGGTGCTGGTTTGGCGATTGACGTATACTTGGGGGCGTGTTGCGAGGCCTTACACTTAGCAAGTAAGACTGTTGATGATATATTTGGTGCATTTCATCCTTTGTCTCCAACATCTGTGTTTGTACTTACCAGTAGAATACAAGAAGGAGTCTTTCAGTGTTTCGTTGAAAGGATTGGGCGGTTCAGGTTTGGCTACAACCGTAGTCTTGGAAGTTGTCTGTGCGGCCACGGTCATACTGGGCGGCGGTGGTGGCGGCCACAGCAGCTCACCACTCTTGAGCACTATTGCTCCACGAGTCACTTCATCCTCGAGGTTGATGTGGAAATGGTCGTTTGTCCCTGGATAAATTAAATTTTTCTTCAACAATCTTACAGTGAGATCCCGATTCTGGATTGTGTTTTTTCACGTTATAGATAAAACGATACCGAAAAAAAGCGTGTGCGAGACGCAGGGGGGGGGGGGGGGTTATTACTTAAACTATAATCTAAGTGACGCTGCGGGTTAGAGTGAGATAAGAGCAGCCTGCTGCCTACCGCTGCTGTATGCGTGACGCGTTCCGTAACGAAGCCTTCCCATAGAAATAAAATAAAATCAATTTAATTGACTCACATGTAATTATATTTATATGGACAGACTGTGTCCATATAAATATAATTACATGTGAGTGTTAGTAAAAATAGGAAAACTTAAATATATGTTAGTAGATTATTTAAAAATCCTAGATTATTTATTACTAGCTTTTGCCCGCGACTTCGTCCGCGTCCTTCCTCAGGGTTCCGTGGTTTTGATGTGACAGACAGATTAACTTTCGTATTTTAGTAGGGAAATATAATATGTCAATCCACAATACTGTTAAAAATATCGCAATAAGGAACCGCAGAATATTATTATTATCCCTGTGCCCCGAGACCATCAGCGTGTAACTCCTTGTATGTTATTATGTTAATGTATTGGTAATATTGTTTAGATCGCTTTCACATGAGGCTTAAGTACATATAGAATGAAAATACTTCAGCGCAAAGCTTCCGGGTAAACTACGTTGAAAGTTGACCCGTCCGGCACGTGAACATAAAAATTTCTAGGACTGCTAACCCGGGAAAGAGCGACATAACTGACCATGTGAAAAACAGCTGACACCGAGATCTTCTCCAGCAACACGAAAAGTCTGCCCTTGAGCCTTATTTATTGTCATTGCATAACACACCGATACTGGGAATTGCGTTCTTTTAAATTGGAATGGAAAATTATTTGGTATTATGGGAATTCTGGGAATAAAGATGGTTTCTCCTGCACCGCAACCTGTTAAAATTTGAGCCTCGATTACATTTTGTTGCAACTGGGTTACTTTAAGCCGAGTTCCGTTGCAAATTTGTGGTGGTCTTAAATTTCGGAGCAGAATAATCGGAATGCCAATTTTTAAACAAATTTCATGAGAAGGAAGTCCGGGCATATTTAAAGAATTTAAAAATTCTATCGGGTAGTGGTTTCTTGTTCATCGGCCATTCTATTTATTGAACTATAAACTTTGCTGTCCCCCTGGATATTCGACAGTATTTTATTATTAATCTCAGATGCCCGGTCATTGCGAGGAGTTAAAATGGACCTTTCGCATAGCCAAGAATTGTCCTTATTTTTAATATATTTGTTACGTCACCGTAAACTGACGATGTAAGATGTTGTTGGGATTGCACTATACAACATAACTCAGGCGTCAGAATAAGTTTTCCTTGGTGTAGCAGTGGATAGGTATCTTTGGTGAAGGTATATTCTTTAATAATATATCAGAAAATTCACGATCATCCGGGTTACCTACAGTTCTCACTCGCACGTTTATAGTCAAATGCACCGATTGTATATCACGCCACAAATAAGAGCTTTTCAGGCAAGCCCTAACCTCATCAGCTCGGGTTCCCCGTGGTATAACCGGTAAGGTTTGTCGGAAATCACCACAAAATAAAACTGTGATACCGCCCATTGGTCGATCATTTTGTCTTATATCCCTTAAAGTTCTGTCTACCGCTTCTACTCCTTTTCGATGGGCCATCGTACATTCATCCCATATGATTAAATTACACTTTGAACGAATATTTAAACACTACCAAAACAACTAATACGTGGTCCTAACTTTAGCTACCTTACACTTAAAATCTAAGTGACTATTTAAACTAAAATATTCTTATAGAATTATAACCAGAAATATATACAACTCACAACAAAAAAGAAATGAAAATAAAGCTGAAACGCCTGTGCAATACTATCTACCTATACCTACTTCACTTAAAAATAAATACTTATAACTACTTTAATTAATAAAAGTACCTACGCTTAATAATTTTTAATTTGAACGAATATTTAAACACTACCAAAACAACTAATACCTATTTTACAAAATAACAACATAAGAAATTCAAATAAACTATTTAAAGACTAAAAGTCGCGCTGATAAGCACGGTTTCTCAATATTTCTCAATTATTGTCTGTCAATAAGACCGAACGCTCTGAACGCATCAACAGCCAAATATTGAAGCTCGCTCGCTCTTTTTTTTTATTTTTTTTGTTTCCTCCCAGGCGGGGGAGCAGGTGAGAAATCCTCATGGATACCAGACTCGTACTGACTAAAAAACACCCGTAGGGGCTGCCTCTGACCGGGAAGGCCTCTAAGGCTTCATCGGAAGCGATCGCCCCCAGGGGGGGAGCGACGCAGAAAACAGATTTAGACAGTTCGCACTCGGACCTCCCGCCTTTTGATACCCTACCGCCGCCGCGACCCGTGTCGAGCGCGGCAACCGTTACACAAAAATAATCCTTATAGCATGATTCAGTATAGGTAATAATGTTAACTTTTTTAAATTAGGGATGAGTCGGAGTATTATAAACGTAAGAGTAAACAAATATGATCAGAATGCTCCGAACTGCTAAGCTATCGGGAGTTACACGTGTTACTGTGAGTCAACCATAAAAGATAGACATATGCTGTTACGGGATATTTTTTAGACAATTTTATGTAGAATATTTCCGTCATACATGATTTCTATGTAACTTTAATCATTAAGGCTGCACACAAAATGGAGTAACTTCTCCCGTTTTCCCAACATTTCCCTTCACTACTCTGCTCCTATTGATTATAGCGTGATGAAAAGTATACTATAACCTGCCCAGGAGTATGAAGAATAATTGTACCAAGTTTCGTTAAAATCCGTCGAGTAGTTTTTGTTTCTATAAGGAACATACACACAGACAGACAGACAGACAGACAGACAGACAAAAAATTTGCTGATAGCATTTTTGGCATCAGTATTGATCACTAATCACCCCCCGATAGTTATTTTAAAAATATATTTCATGTACAGAATTGACATCTCTACAGATTTATTATAAGTATAGATTACGACTCCTAGCTTGAAAGATCAGGAGCTCACTTTTCTTGACATCATACAGTAGACCGTGACTAGTTGCGTACATTTCATTTAATAATTTTGGATTATGTGGCCTATTGGTAGACTGCTTGATTGAGTCCTCGCCTGCGGGGTAAAGGGTGTGGGGGAAAATGAAAACGGGGACTCCCTTAAACCGTTTTCGTTCTCCCCCACACCCTGTATGCCGCAGGCGAGATCTCATATCACTATGTAAGCAATTAAATACATTTTAAGTTATTTCGAAAAATAATTAGTTGCCACGAAAACTGTTTTGATATAAGATAACGTCAAGGGTTTGGTGATAAAATTTAATGATAAAAGGAGGCGGCGGCATTACATTTTACGTATCTAAATTCTAATATAAATAAATCATTGTTGAGCTTCCACTATTGTCGTTAGGTTAAACAAGATTGAGCTAATTACCTATTTTATTATACTAGAGGAAATTCGAAAGTACTCGTATATCTAGCATAATTTGCACAACTTTTGAGCTGTTTCTTTTACAAAAAAATATATAACACAACCACAAGGTATGTAATTATACCTATATTTATACATTGAACAGTTATTGAATGTATTCATCACTCATTCTACTAAGCAAAATCTGAGTTACAATGTGTAATCCACATAATGAAACAATTTTAATATCAATTCATATATTTTCAAACTAACGGTTTGATTTATTTTTAGTATCAAATATTGAATTGAGAATACAAAACTTTTAAAGTGTTCTGTTAATGTCCTTAAAATAAAAAAAACATCTCTGTTGTTAGGTACTGACTGGTACATATCTATGTACTGCGGAATCGATTACGGAAATGTCTGTTGCTTGGTTGAACACTTGTGTTACGGACGGTTAGTAATAGAATTATTAGCACTTACCTAAACGTAGAAGCGGACTTATAAAATTATTATAACACTTGCGGCTGCCGTCAACTTCGTCCGCGGTTACATTTTTTTGGAAAATCCCTCAGGAAACTAACATTTTTTAGGGATAAAAAGTGTCCTACGTCTCATTCCCATTATAGCATTTTTTTCTAAATACGTTTAGTAGTTTTAACCTAATTAGTGAACATACAAATTCACATTATTGATATTTGTAGGATATAACGCAAGTCAAGCGTCAACAACAAAACCAAGCTTGGTACTCACAAGAACATTTTAGTGGTGGAAAAGCATGGACTCTGGCCACCTGTTTCAATTCTATTATTTATAAAATGTAGCACAAATTAATTTTTGTGGTGAAAACTTCTTTAGCACCGTTATGATTCGAAACTCGATGAAACGAAAAAGCGACAGTATTTGACACAAGGTATCCGTAATTTTGTAACTCTCTGCAAGAGACAGAAAGTCGAACGGTAACGGCCTTGGTGTCGACACCAAATGATCGGTGGTTCGATCCTGAGCTCTGTTATTTTTTTTGTATTCTTTTCTCTTTATAAAGCTATTATTTATTTTTCGAAACAATTAAGTATAGAATATTTAATTTTGCCCAGTATTTTACAATACCTGAACAGTTAAGTATTAAACGTTTGGTAGGTGCCTAAGTTGTTTATTAATACAGGCTTGGTTTTTATCGACAATTCTTACCTTTCCAATGTTTGCAATTTTTTACAGTATTTTTTATTAATAAATATTTCGAAAATAACCTAAGATTAGAAAAAACATATCAAAAGAAATAAAATAAAAATAGCTGGTAAGAGGCCGATGTGCGTGACACCGTACAATTTTGTCACTTCGCCCTTCTTAGTTGTTTGCACAGTCTGCTGCTTCGCTGAACATGTGTATTCAAGTCTAATATAGCATTATTGATGTGTAACATCTTTCCTCTCGCTTTCGTGCAATTTGTGGGAGTGATTACGTGAAGTGGGACGGAAGTGTGTAACAGGAAGTATGGGAAGCGCGCGCTATTTGATTTGATTTTAGAACATAATGTTCAAATAGCTTATTCCTTTTGTAGTAGGTTTTATTTCTTTTTTTACTAATATAAGGTGAGGTTTCAAATGTTACACAACATGCGCGACTACTGTAAGGCTCGCTTGTTTTTTTAGCACGTTACTTACCTAAACTGAAGAGGAATCCGGATATATTGTTAGCGTACAGCGTGGAGGCGTGCGCTGGCATACGGCTCGGCAAGTCGGTGAGGCCTATGTGAGTGACGCCGTGAACTTTTGTCACTTCCCCCTTCTTAGTGGTTTGAACATTGCCACCCATTTCTGCGGCCAAGTCTACTATCACGCTGCCTGGTGCCATGTCTCGGACTGCATCCTGAAAATTAAGTTATATCATCGAAAAACAACTATTGAAAATTCTTAAACACATCACACATGTACTCATAACTGAAAAATGTTACCAGTGGAATGCATTCAAAGATGTGAGCTATATACTTCTACATAAATACCTACTAACCATTATTTATTTATAATTATTTAAGTATTTTTTTATGTAAAAAGGGCGGCCCCGCTTACGATACCAGAGTATCACGTGCGCCGTTGCTTACCTTGGCCATATCCCCTACCCCGCGGAACTCTAGAACTTTCAAAATAAATAATTTCTTTTACCATTCTCAAGAAATTCGTAATGTTTTGTAACTGCGAAGTTGTTATTCATATAAGATTTAAACTGTTTCATAATGGTAGGGGAGCCCATGCGGGGGTTTTTTGGATTTACTCGAGCGCGGCAGAATAACATATGGGAGGGAGAAGGCAACCTTGAAAAGTACTCCCACCTTACCTGAGCCCTCTATGTAGGGCCGAACAACTATGGTAGCAAAAAACAAATTCGACAAACGGCTATAACTTTTTGTTGCGTCCAAATCGTGTCTTTAGAATAGGAACTACTGGAGGGTTCACCTAACATCCCTTCTATTACCCCTTCGTACCGCCATCCACCCCGTTATGTGATTAGTTACGATTAATTGCATGAAATTATTTTCTCGTGATATCAATCCCAAAGACAACACAAATCAAATTAAAGGGATATCTAGTTGTGAAATACTAACCTCCAATATGAGCAGAGGTGCTGGTTTACCGGGGATCAGAGCCGTGCTGATGACGACGTCAGAGGTGCGAGTTTCTCTGCCGAGGAGAGCTCGTTCCGCATTGAGGAACTCTTGACTCATTTCCTTGGCGTAACCTCCTACCCCGGCTCCTTCTTCCTGAGTTAGAAATTAAAAACTAACTTATAACAATTGATTTATAAGTAAAGTTACAAACAATACTAAATGATTTGGATAAGACTGGATAAGTGCATCGTAAAGTACCTAGGTAGGAGTAGTCCTAAAAAAAAGTTACCAAAGTTAATACCATTAAAATACAATGAATGAATAATAACAATGTTCCGGTTTAATCATCTCCTTGTACGAGGATAAAAAGTATCCTCCTATTACATCGAAGTATCTTCATGAAATACAATTTGACGTTGAATTTTACGATCGTTTGATAGAAAGATTATTATATTGTCTTCGAGTTTAAAAAAAGTGAAACATCTCGAACATTATCATTTATAGTTATTGTAAGCTGCGTCCCCAGGTTAAGCCCTACAAGTAGAGGTACCGGGATCGATGGCGCCTCTACCTTGTAGGGTAATTTTCTATCAACCGATCGTTTCTGTGCCTGAATTCTATTTCCCAGAATGTTCGATATATAAGACAAAAGGTTCTCACATTCAAATTTTTAAAATAATAACATTTACTTCTTGATATAACTGCCAGCCGTAGGCATTACATAAGCAAAGAGTTTACACAAGCAAGGAGGCCGTAATACTACTGGCGTTACACTACTCTCATGTCTTTGACTGTACATTGGCGAGTTATCCGCTTGGCTCTGTATGAGACTGTCTACTTAAAGAGTTGCAGTCGCTGCAGTTTAAGTGCAGTTCCAGGTTCGCGAGTATACACTCTTTGTTTTGCACATTATCGTATGACTACAAAAACTATATTACGCATCCGCAAAAGAGTACAGGTAAGCACACATTATAACAGATAATTAGAAACATATAGGAAGATAAGATCTCGTTTAAACAAAACTACATTATTCTGTTACAGAATCAAGTTTTCTCTAAACAATGTTAAACAAATCTCTCTCTGTACTTGGTGCAGCCAGTAGGGAAATTAGCCTTCATTCATAGCTGTAACAATGTAAACAAACTTGTCCGGGAATCGTACTGAAACAGTATTCAGTTTGAAGTTAACATTGTCACAAGCGACAAGCAGCACTGACTGTTAATGCCAGTTGGGCGTGCTATTTTTTATGTTAAAAGTGTGGCAGAGAAGCGCATGGCCCGCTTGATGGTAAGCGGCCACCATAGCCTATAGACGAGTGTGATACAAAAAATATCGCTCTCGCCGTTGCCTATTCTGACCCAATCCCCTACCCCGTGGAGCCCTGGAACCTTACTCACCAACAGAAACTCAACACCTCCAAAAGGTAGTGTTATTTGACTATTGTGGTCTTCTATAAGGAGGAGGTTACGTTACTTCCCTAGGTGGGGACTCCAATTCGAACAGGAAATCTGCTATGCCCTACCTCTCTTAAAAACTTTTGTAGGTAGCAACCTACAAAACCGGTCATTCAAGGTAAAAAGATTATTCACCTTATCATCTTACTACTCCACTCATAACTTGTAATGAAAATGAACTTTATGCTAAATGAATTTATCAGTAATTTGAGCAAGGTCATTGTTACCTTTGTCATCTTTGGTTACTATTTGTTCGCGTTATGTAAACGCTTTTACATAACAACGGCCAACATAACATTTTATGGTTACGCATTAAGCTCAGTTGATAAAAAATTCAAATATTACTCTGTCATCGTCATCAATACAATGGCGACACGAAGAGATGCTAAATTGTGTACGTACAAATTTTTTATGAAAAGTAGGTAGAATAAGGTACTATTGTCCGTCTCAGAGGATTGCATGCGCGTCTGTGTAGGTATATGTACACAAATTATTAATGAAAGGTAGGTAAAATTTCTATTGTTCGTTTTAGAGAATATCTAGATGATATGAAACGTTCCGTTAATGTATAATATTATTACGTCACCAGTGTTTAAAGTAATTTTATTATTTTATTTATTTCCCGAATTTATTTACCTACTAATAACGGTGAACAAAAACGGGAAAAAACCAACTTGTAAATGAAATTCGGAAATAAATATATAATAAAATTGTAGGAAAGTCAAAACTGAACATTGAATATTTTTTAAAAGAATACTTGGGGTGTGATGTACAATCGATACCAAAGCCAAAAATATAGTTTTTAGACTTTTTGTCTATTTGTCTGTATGTATGTCCGGGATAAACTCAAATAGAACTGCATGGATTAACTTCAAATTTGGCACGAATAAGTATTATTAAGAAGTCGGGTCAACATATAGGTTGCATATTATCACGCTATCACCTACGTGAAACGAGCAGTGAACCTTTATTTCTTACTAACTCCACGCGTACGAAGTCGCGGGCGGCTGCAAGTAAAATAATAAAATTACTCTTAACACTAGTGACGCAATAATACTATTACATTAATGGAACGTTCATATCATTTAGATAGCGGTAACCTCATATCAGAACGCAGTATGCATACCACACCTTGCTTGCAAATTAAAACTTAAAATAAGATTTGCAATGAAGATAAAATTGATTATATCAAAAAAATATGCCTTTGATGATCAAACCAATTAAACGAATGCTTTAGATATATATCGATAAGTACATAATATTATTTGCACGATATCTGTAACTGAAAAGCAAATAATAATACTTAATACCAGACCAATGTCATATCAATAACGATGCATTCACAGATTGTTTGCGTAAATAAAAGCGATTGGAAACGTAATACATACTTATTTATGAACATGTCACCGCAAAAAGGTGAATGCGTTATGGTAAGCCAATGATATGTGAAGGAAAATTGAATGGGTCCTGTATACAATTTGTTTTCGATATCAACTAAGTAGGTACTTAGGTAATTATTTATGCACTTAAATTATCAGCAAATTACATTTTTCGTTAATCGGTACTTTTATTATTTCGTAAACATGATGTTACGGATGAGTGATATCAAAAGCAACTTACAAATCCATAACTTCCTAATCAAATGAATACATTTGTTTAAATGTGTAGATACATGGTATTGACAAACTATTGCTTTAAATAACCCTTTATTTAAAAAAAAACTCTGAAATATGGTAATGTTCAGCAGGCTTCTCAGAATTTTTAACGATTTCCCAGATCATAAAAATGACAATCGCAATTCGCAGTAAATGGAATGTTATATTGAAATACGTATATTGTATAAAGGTGGGTTACATTAAGATACTTTGCTGCATTTGTTTGTCTGTTTCTGTTGCACATTATTTGAGTTGCTTATTATTATGATACAAATGTGCGAGAACATTTAGTACCTGCCAAGCGATCCTTTCAACGTCAACTACCTGCCGAGTGCACGACCCAATTCCAATGGAGGAATGGATTGAAATTCTAATATTTATTAAGGGATTTTTGAGATTTTTCACTCAAATATCTATATTTGAAACTCGAATGCCAAACGTAATAGAGTGAGATTACAGTGAGACTAACTTATGTGATTTAGCGAGTTTATATTATACTACAGCTTAAAAAAAAAACTTTCCTAAAATCACGTCACAAGAATCACAAGTCTAGTGTAATTTGGATTTAACTATAAAGACATTTTCCTGAAATATCGAGCGCCCATACTAAGATGGGTCCTTGCTCTTTGGGTTCCATTCGACGATACTCACCTTCATCACTTTAGTGATGAACTGGGCGCCCAAGCTCTCTATCTGCTCGCGGACAGACGGCTGCGTATAAAACAACCTGACTGCGGCGCGCATACTAAGATGGGACCTAACCTATTGGTTTCCTTCGACAAATCTCACCATCATCTCCATAGTGATGAACTGGGCGCCCAAGCTCTCGATCTGCTCGCGTACAGAGGGCCGCGTATAAAGCGATCTGACCGCGGCGCCCATACTAAGATGGGACCTAATCTATTGATTTCCTCCGACGAATCTCACCTTCATCTCTTTAGTGATGAACTGGGCGCCCAAGCTCTCAATCTGCTCGCGTACAGAGGGCCGCGTATCGAGCGACCTGACCGCGGCGCCCATACTAAGATGGGATCTTACCTATTGATTTCCTTCGACAAATCTCACCATCATCTCCATAGTGATGAACTGGGCGCCCAAGCTCTCGATCTGCTCGCGTACAGAGGGCCGCGTATAAAGCGATCTGACCGCGGCGCCCATACTAAGATGGGACCTAATCTATTGATTTCCTCCGACGAATCTCGCCTTCATCTCTTTAGTGATGAACTGGGCGCCCAAGCTCTCGAACTGCTCGCGTACAGAGGGCCGCGTATCGAGCGACCTGACCGCGACGCCCATACTAAGATGGGACCTTACCTATTGATTTACTGCGACGAATCTCACCTTCATCTCCATAGTGATGAACTGGGCGCCCAAGCTCTCGATCTGCTCGCGTACAGCAGGCCGGGTGTCGAACGCCCTGACCGCGGCGCCCATACAACGGGCCTGCGCAGCTGCAGCTAGACCCGCTACCCCACCGCCCACTACTAGGACGCGGCAAGGCGGCACTCGACCCGCAGCCGTCATTTGACCTGCGTTCCAAAAAACGTTACGTATAAGAGAGGTAGGGCATAGCGAATTTTGAGCGCCCATCTGGGGATTTAGTCTCTACCTTACAGAAGATCTTTCTGTCAGTGATTAAGGTTCCAGGGCTCCACGAGGTAGGGGAGGCATCGGCGCGAGTGATATTTTTCATACCTGGGGGCCAATCGCCTAACGGAAATGCTTTGGGAAACGCTAACGCTGACGATTTTATATTGTTATTTCTAGCCGCCTGAGGTTTTCGAATACCTCACGCTCATTTTTATTAATATTGTTATTACCAATGCAAAAGAAAAAGAAAGAGCGCGAGGCATTTGAATACCTTAGATAGGCTAGATAACAAAATAAAATCGTAAGCGTTAGCGTTTTCCAAAGCATTTCCGTTAGGCGATTGGCCCCCTGAAGCGTCTATAGGATGTGGTGGCGCTTACCATCAGGCGGGCATTATGCTTGTTTGCCACCCATTAACATAAAAAATATGGAAAGATTCACTACGGATTACGGATGAATATCGTTGATGAATATAGCTGAAGACAAGCTGAGAAAATGCCAATGGCCTTAGGGGCGTCGGCGCAACTAGACAGGTCTCTAGACTCGGACTTCGGCTCTAGTTGGACGTTTTCATGGAGTGGAGAAAACGCCCAGGTACATATCTGACCCTAGTATTACATATCATGTAGACTGTGGGTCTTCGTACTGTTAAACTATAGGTATTGTGAACTGCCATGCTGTATGGAGAGCGGCTGAAAAATAGAAATGCTATGTTGCTAAGCCTTATGCAGTATGTAATCTGTACGAATATAATATCTGATGTGATGCCCTTGCTCAGTGGCGGACTAAGCCCGTCAGAGGCCCGGGGCGGCAAAACTGAATGAAGCCCCCAGCTTTAAAAAAAAGGTAGATTCTTATGTTTATTTCGTTAAAACCAGTCTTGTCAAATTCACCATAACTTTGTATCAGATTGTCAACTGCTACAGCCAGAGCGTCATCTGAAACTTCTAGCATAAACTTTGTTTCAATAATTGGGAAAATATTTTTGATTTGTTATAGCCCAATTCGAAAATTCTTGTATAAAGCGGTCTGTGCATTCATACATTGACCGACGTATTTCTGCTTGAATTGATAATCCAGCATCATGAGCTGATTCACCCGGCATCGTTCTTTTTACCTTCACTTTTCCTGGTTTATTGATGTTGATGATCCACCTAAATACTAATTCAAGGCGTTTAGTTTGGTGATTCCTGTATTCAGAGTCATTTTTGTAGACCGCAAATATTGTTAGACTTAAATAGAATGTAGTGAATGTAAATGTATGCGTAAAAGAGTAAGGGTGGTATTCCGAAATATAAACCAGTACGCTGGCCAGCGGTAATGACGTCATGACTTCGACGCCACATTGCACTGGTGTAGTAGTACTTTTGTCAATATGGCGTCGAAATCATAACGTCATTACCGCTGGCCAGCGTACTGGTGTTTATTTCGGAATACACCCTAAATTATTTGCTACAAAGACGAGAATTCCCCCAGCGTATTGGACGCTTTCAGCAAAGTTAAAAAAATACTTGTACCGCGAAAAGGTCTAGATTACTGTAGTGTTTTGATCTTGATGAAATTATGTAGGTACTAAGCACATTTTTAAAGTCTTGTTTAGGATTTGATTAGGGTAACGCGGAGGCATTTGGGGGGCCCCCAAGATCGGGGGCCCGGGGCGGGCTGCCCCTTCCGCCCCCCTGTTAGTCCGCCACTGCCCTTGCTTCTGATTTACGAATGTTCCTAAATTGTTATTATGAAGTGTACATTTTTTTTGTGACACAGGCAAAACCTCTGTTTATATGCGACGGCGCCTTTAAGAGGCACACCGCCGAACGGACCTCACACCTGACTCCCGCAAGCCTTACGAGCCCCCGTAGTGGCTGCCCACTGAGGACCCCGTAACTCTTACGGGCGCTTTACGGCATAATATCCGTTAAAAAACCCTGCGAATACCCTCTAAGCTGCTTAGTGCGACCGCGGGATCCCCGTTATTATGAACTGTACCTGAGAAGAATCTAGGGAAATGCGCAGCCGCCTCAATGACTGCTCGGTATCCCGCCACATTTGCCATCGAACTTAGCGCGTCAAAAGCCTGCGCGCGGCTGATGCGTGGAACGCAGTCCATTGCTAGAACACATTGTTTCAGTTAAAATATTAAAAACATTAGGAATGTTACAATAATTATTTAAAAAATATTAATAACATAAGAGACAGACGAGCAATGCGCCAATGTATAACAATGAAACGTAGGTACCTAACTGCGTACGCGCATGTCCGCTTAGGTGTAAAACAATAGAATCAATAGAATACAGATATGATAAAGTAAAGATGTTAGGGTAACGAGGAGGTTAACGTTCGTAAGATGGGATATTACATCATAATAGTTATTTTTTCTTTCTCACCAAATGCGTTGACCTTTTTAGCAGCCAGTTTCTTAATTAGATCTTGATTTTGCGCCGGATATAGGAACGATATAAGTGTGCCTTCATCTTGAACATTTTTAATTTCGCTATCTAAAAGTGGTCTTACTTTTAAAATAATGTCTGTAAAAAAAAGTTGAAAGTTTTAAATGTCTGAGTTACATTAAAGAATTGGGTAAAATATGTATAAGTTTAAAAACAACCATGACTCGGCAACAAATCTTGTGCTCATCACACTCTACCGGGAATCAAACCCAGGATGCCCAGGACCTTTGGACCTTTGGAGCAGAACCAGAGTAAAATTTATTCAAATTTAAGTTTACTGTTTTATATTTCAAGTCTTATCTTCGCAGATTTTATACAATTATTATTTTATGAAAGACTGGCAAAATGGTTTGAATAAGATCATCATTAAATGGGTAGTATGTTCGCGAAAATCAATTAGAAGTTAACGTTTAATTACTGGATTGGAATGTTTCCTTGAGGGTGGTGACTTTAGCGCCAGCTTCCTCGTATGTTTTGTTTGGAAAATTAGCTAGCGCCCCAGCATTCTCTTCTATATTTACAGTGAAACCTTTTTTTACTAATTTGCTAACTACAGCTGGTACTACGGCAACTCTGTAAAAAAACGAAACGAAATATAGATAGTCGAAAAAAATAACAAAATCTGGGGCAGGCTATAATATATTCTAGGCTTTCCACTACGACAGCTACCTTGAGATTATGATAGATATAGCTCCTATAGAAATTCATCATCTTGCCCGTTGCGGGGCTATTTCTAAATAAGACTAATGAAAATGTTCGTTGAAGTGGACGCCGGCCGGCGCCGGCGTTATGGGGCCAGTAGGGGTTGCTTACGAGGACGGACCAACCGAGAGCGGTTTACACATACATCGTGTCTGTACCAATGTGCTATATAGGGTTAGTCCGCTACTAAAACAGCAATGGTTACCACTCCACAAACGAACGATCATTTATCTTGTCTCGTGGTTGGTGTAAATAGGATAGGCTCATAGACAACAAAGTAATTTTTTGCGATACAATCGTAACGTGATCTTTAAGAGAGTATGTGTGATTTTTTATAAATAGGTATATAAGTTTATGGTAATGCGTTAAATAACAAAGAGCAAAATATTTTGGCATCTTTTGAAAACAAAGAAGTTCATAGCGGGTTTTGCGCTCGAATTGGAGCGCCCGTCAGGGGAAATAACCTCCACGTCACTGTGGTATTCTTCCTTTTGGGTGGTGATTTATGTTTCTGTCGACAAGTAAGCTTCCAGGGCATTATGGGATTCGGCCATCAGGGTAGGAAAAGCGCGAGTGATACAGTACCTATCGTCTGTAGGGTGATGCGCACCATATAACTACTTCTATACCACCCCCTTTACATAAAAAATCCGTACAAAAGTTTGTCCTTTAAGGTGGAGGGTCCACGGTAATGTAAAAATTAAAAAAATCTTTGTTGTACTCACCTCTTTTCGTCCTGCCATAATTCTTTCGGAATGCCTATGCTAAGTTTGGTGTAGGGTACTCCAGGTACTTGCGGAGGTGCTGACGAAGAACTAGAGAGTCTGGAATTTAGCGTGCGAGGCAACGGCCTGTACGCACGTAGGATCCGTATACACCCACACATTGTTACTATCTGAAACAAAAGAAAATCCATATTCATATTCCTTATTAATATGACAGAGTATGGGGTAGAGCGTGGAGTCCGTTAGTAAATAGAGCATACGAATTCATGATGTTTTTTTTCTGTTATGTTCTTGATTCTTTGAAAATAAAAGTGGGAGAGACCATCGTGCAAGATCACGGTATTTTATATTGATATTTTTTATTTTATATATTCGCTAGAGTGATAGTGTGTATGCAAGAAGTATAAAGTACATGACTACAATTTTTAAGAAATTCATTTCAATATCAAATTTTATTAGGTTCAGTCACACATGCTGGACTGCGAGCGAAAAGAAAATAAAATTAAACAAATGCTAACTTTCCCATGCCATAAATCCTTTCAACGGACAGGTCAAATCCGGAAACGTAAATGGTGGGCTAGCAAACAGTCACTCACTAATTGTTTTCGGACTTTTGTCCGGGCTTCAAGAGTTATGTTATGTAGTTATAATGTTTAACGTGTCTGTGGACTAGATTAATCAAACTACTACATATTTTATGCAACCCCGAGAAGAGTAAATTGCGTTAACATAATGGTAGTTACGTAATATATGGGTCCTTTACGAATGTAAGTATGAAGACGGGCTGTGCGATCTAATGCGCGATTTATTGGAGTAACGGGAAATGTAAGAAACAGGCACCGTTTATCGCAGATAAAACGTCATAAAACTCACCAAATAAACTTACCGGCTACACTACAAATTCTCTTAAGCTATCGTCTATGGATAAATAAATGGTTTTACGAATGCCGTTGAAAAATTATCGCGCTGTGTCGTGGTTTTATACTTACGATTCAAAGTAGTACCTTCTAAGCTATCATATATCAAGGGAAAAGTCGAAAGAAGTCTAGACTATGTGTTGTTTCCAGAGCTGGCTTTAAGGCAGGGTAGGCGGAGTGTGTCAAAACAAATTTCGATAGGTCATGAACCAGGAGAGTGCAAATAAAACAACCACGGTTAGATTTAGGGGCATCCCACACCTCTAAATCCGGCCCTGGGTTGTTTCACACGTACCACAACCACACCACACCGTAGCGAAAAAAAATGGTCAAGCTGTGATTACGTGTGAATTTGTGTCGCTGCGGCTTCTTGCAGAAAGTTGCCCTTTTTTTGGCAGTCGCACACATTTCAGAGATGCGTTCATCGCAAGTTTTGTTTGCATTTTGCTTTTACTCTTCATTTACTGTATGGGCAACAGTCCAACAGTAAGTGCGTTAAGTCAAATTGGTAAGTGCATAATACCGTTATAAGTACCACAATATGTCGAAACGAGACTCTATTGTAGTCTACAGATATGCGGTGCCATGTCAACATTTAGTAGATGGAGAGACGCCCACTTGATAAAACAATTCTATTGGCCTTTTCTCAATAACCCTACCCAATTCATCGTAATATCCAAAGGAATAAATAAATTAAAGTATCTCGTAGATAGGTGCCGAACCGTTTTTTTTCCTTAGTGTGAAAGCCCATTCAATTCAACGACGAATAAAGTCCGACTCGCACTTGGCCGGTACTTTATTAGTTTCCTTCAACTAATCAGAATTATAAATAATTCATTTGTGGTATTAAGCAATAAAAATTCACTAGCTACATACCTAGTAGTTTATTTTTTATTTTGAAGGAATATAATCCTTTCTCTAGCGTAGATAAAATTAAAACCAGCTGTGAGCCACTGAACCTAATGTGACACAAAACACAAAGGAATGTCAGAAGTCAGGCTTAAATAAGCCTTGAATCTATCATCACAAGGGATAGATTACAATCAACACCACTATCGGCGAAAATACCTGCATAAATGCACGTTGCATTTAAAATGTACACTCACCCGGCTTATATTAGCAGGACCTTGGCATCATTATCATCACCCGGGTGTGCGTGGTATTTAAGTTGATTATATTATTAGCTATAGAATAATTAAACATACCATACCTAAGTAAAGTACTTATCAAGAGAATAATAAATTATATTTAGGCATGAAGACCGGTGGACCGGCTGTTCACTCTGAGCAACACAAACTATATTAATAACTTTAGCAATTACTTTAAAACTTAAGTCTGGGTACACACACATTACAATGTACACAAGAACTTACCTCAATTACAGTTATACATCATCATATCAAAGGGTCATAAAAGATGTTATCACGATCTGTCGCTACTAAACCGTAAAACATTTGTCGATTTGTAAATACAAATTTAATATTTCGGTAAGTGATCATAAACTATTAGAAGCTAATAAAACCGTTTGTAATACTACTGACCTGAACCACTACGCCGCTCTTTAATTTTTGTAAGGCTGCTTAATCGAAATAAATTAAATAATCATTAAAGACTATTAAAACTGCTTTAAAGAACTCACAAAACGATTCTTTGCCAATTTTGCTGCACCGGCTTGCCCGCCTGCTTACTTGGTTGCTGCCGGCGCCCAGCTGGCGGCGGGCGGAAGCTTCACTTGATATGACAGTAGTGTTGGGAAATGATACACTGAACTAATTAATCTTAAATAAGTCGATTATGTGATTAAATGTAGTCGAATCTCTGAAATATTTTTTCACTGTACTGTGGGGAACCATATTATTTATGTGTCTGTTATACATTTCATCCGATTACGAGTAAAAAAAACAATCGGATGCACTAGTTTCCCTGAAGTAGAGTAATTGCATAACTACACTAACTCCACACACTAACACATTTTACAGCAATTTTAAAGCAAATTTATCAGGCATCTTAGAAATACAGTGATCTAGCAGCCACTCAGTCTGGCTCGACTCATTCATTGGAGTCTTACAATATTGAGGTAAACCATCAGCAGTGCAAGTTTGAGCACCCCTGATGTACTTTAAAGCATTAGTTTTTTAAAATATGACTTAATGAGCTATATATTTTCCTTGCTGAAAAAAAGCATTTAAGATATTAATTTTTAGTAATATGCGCAATTTTTTACACTATACCCTCTCAAACTTTTGGCGGTTTCCTAAATTCTGCTAAGAACTTCATACAGAAGAGAGCAAATTCGGCTTATTTTTCATATGCTCAAAAAATTAATTAATTTTTTTGCAATAAAACGGATGTATGTATATAAAACTCTTACCCACATAAGGTGACATAAAATGATTACAACTGAGATTCAAGTTTTCCTAAAGTTTTTCTGTATTTATAACAGGTAAACCAGGGGGCCAAGTTATAGAAAAAGTGTCAATGTGCTGCTGTGTGTCATTTAAACACTTAAGTATAGCGACTCACCCCTGTAGCCCAGTCTAGTAATGACAAAAATATAACAAGGTATGCATTAGACATGGTAAAGATACTTAAAAATGTGTATTTAAAAAGTATAGCGACTCACCCCAGTAGCCCAGTCTAGTAATGACAAAAATATAACAAGGTATGCATTAGACATGGTAAAGATACTTAAAATATACATTTAAATAACTAAGTGTCAATTGAACCTGAGTATGATTTCGTAGTTCCCATCTCTAGTTTACTTTTTTTATGACAAGAGCAAGTCAGTCAATCAAACAATAATGACAGTTCAACTCGGATCGGGCATAAGTTGTATGGTATTTTATTTAATTGGTGTTTGAATTTGTTCTGAAACACAACGTAGGACAGAACTCTGTTTAGTTCTAGATATGGCTAATAACGGCACAAAGCGTTTATTTAAATATTTTGTAGAAACTTCTGTTCAATCTTCAAGGTGTTGTAAGTAACTATTTCAATTGTTTTTAGTTAGGTAACTTGTTAAAAGTTTAAAGTCTATCTTTGGAACAAAAGTTCCAATTTAAAATAACATGATTTAGACAATTTGATATGCTAGCAAGTAGACAGGTACTGACTCAGATAATTAACTGTAATATAAATTAAAATGAGGTACCAAAATCAGCATTGTTAATGACTAATATCTTTAAATTGAAAATATGAATTGATTCCCGTAAATGTATTTGATTTCGTAATAAATGGTATGCATTGTTGAAGGATAGTTTTTTCTTCTGCAAGATGTTAGAACTTTGAATAATAAATTTTTATACTTGGTTCTTTCCTAATGTACATTTTAGAAAATGTTATTTCATGGTAAAAGTTTCAGTAAGCAGTTATTTATGTTATGAAGATTAACATGCAGCGGCAATTGCTAGGATTTGTATCAAGAATAAAGCTTATTTAAACTTTTGCAAAATGCAGTTCTACGCTGCCAAAACTACTTTAACTAACAGTGAAGAACTTGGTCTTCCTCTACCATCCATAGGGAACGCATGTGCCCCAGCTTTGGGGACATGAATAGGGTGATGAGTGACAATGAAAGAGTTTAACCATTACTATTATTGAGAATTAATGTCATTTTATTCCCTTCTAATTTCACAAGTCACATTGTGTTTAACATGCATAATGTACTTCTGATAATTATTTATTTGTTTCAGATGGCACAGCAAAACGAGTTGTGGCTGCAAAGCCAGTGGTGGAAATGGATGGTGACGAAATGACACGCATTATTTGGGCTATGATCAAAGAAAAGTTGATTTTTCCATATGTCAAGGTAAGAGAATTTATTTGTGTATGTAGAAAACAATTGACACAGCATCACTTCTCTCTGCTCTGAATAGATTGATCGAGTTGGCTGACTTTTTTGAAAAATTTAAAATATTTATAGTTTTCCTTTTTGGTATGTAAGTATGTAACTTTATTAGTAAATAGCACTTGCAAAACCAGGGGGATTCACTAGCTTACACCTAAACAAAAAATTGTGAAACTATTTTTTTTAAGTCATTAGTCTCTGGTGTTTGATTTGTATTTAGCCATAGACTGGTTTGGCAATTTCATTCAGCGTACCATTTATTGATTTAACATGGATTAATAATAGGTTTAAGTTTTCAGTTTACACATCGAACATCAGTTCATATAATTCTCATGTTCAGACTGTTATTCTTTTAGAAAATTAAGATTGTTTTTTTTATCTTCGTTCAAAATTCCTGTAAAACAAGAGTTAATGTATTTTTAATAGGCATCTCAAAATGTAAAAAGAAGTTCACACTACTTCATTTGCTTAGAACACAAATAGTTACCAACACATAATATTAGATATTATGAAGATTAGATTAGACATGCACATCACTACAGGCAGGTACCTACTGGCCTATTGTATTGCTATTCAATAACTTGATTCATAACTTAATTTGCTAAGCATAGAATTAACTGCCGAGAGTGTTTAAATAGAAAAAAGAAATCATTATCCTACTATGCAGTATGTCAAAAATTCTACCTGTCTTATCATAGTGTTATGTGCCAAGGTTATGTAAGTAATTATTGTGCTTGCTTATCAATACTTCCAAATCTTATTTGCTGCCATTAAAGTTAATGTTACACTCATTGTATGTATTATATATTTTATACAACAGGTTATCATCATGATTATGTTGCAAATTATGTGTTGTTACTTATCAGTATATTACTGGGCCAATATTATTACTAAGCTGATGTGAATATGAGTGTTATATTGTGAAGTACAGAATAAAATATTTTATCTGATTGCCAGGGCACTGCTCAGGTCAAATTTTTAGTTTTTTTTTTAAAATAATGCTATATTCAAAGTGCACAATAAATTAAATGCCACATTGGTGTCAATTCTGGCATGATTCTCTAAACCTAAACTTAAATTTGACAACAGTGTATCCTCGTCATTCTTTATACAGAGTGAAAAGGAGAAACTCTGACAATCAATTTTCAGGATAAAAAGTATTGTATGTCCAGGTATACTACTATACTATATGTGTGCCAAATTTCATCCAAAGCCGTTCAACTTTCTGCGTGATTGAGTATCAAACAAACATAATAAAAGCTCACATTTTTCATTTAATAATCTTAGTTACGATTAAATCTGTTTTTGCTACATTTATCCATTTGTTGTTGTTGTTATGAATTAATAAATAATAGGTAAGTATCATTACAACAATATCCTAAAAAAGTTAATTCCCTACGCTGGAATGGTATTCCTACACACTCGCAAAGTTTATTGACCCTACAGCGTTTATGTTTTAAATACAAATAACGTATGCCCACTTGACTCGACACAGTCAAGGACAACATACGCCGATAACTCCGGTATCCGATTTGAATACAGGAGACATTTGAACGTCAAACAAGAATGCCACTATTTTTTTTGCTGAGTGATTAAGTTACTTTTGCAAATTGAAATAATGTTGCGAATCTGTTATTTGTTGCTTCTGTAAATATAATTGTACCGTCAAAGAAGGCACGAAAAACAATAACGTGTGACGTGTCCATACATTATGTTAAACCCTTAAACCCAGTCACAACTTATGTTTGTTTATTTTTCTTGCAATTACCATGCTGGTTAGTCTTATTCCCAAATCTAAAACCGGCGAAGTGCGTGTCGCCACCACAATAAATTTTGGAAAGAGTCTATATTTTAAGCAATTACTTCGTCTAAGTCACTTTTAATGTTTCCTTCTAAGGATTTGTATTACAAAATAAAAATTAGAAACTCCTAAGTGATTTTAAAGGACCCTATTCAAAGACGGCTCACATGATGGGGTCGGTAGACGATGAATAAACAAAATCATCTCCAGGCTACATGTACGGCAGCTACCCTGTCTCCACAAAATTACAGCTCCCTAGTGCTAACAATCTCCAAGCAAAAATGTACAGACGGACATGATAAAACTGTAAGGGTTCCTTGTTAGGACTACGGAACTCTAATAACATAGAATAATCTTGCTGTTTAGTAACCACCGGCCTATCGCCTATGATTGTAGAGATTGCGGAGCCATCCTATCCGTTCTCAGGCTATCAATGATTGGACGTACCATTACCGTAGTGTACTCAGCAATACATTAAGTTACCACAAAGCATCAAAGGAGATTACTCAAATTGGCCCAAACGCACAAAAAATATTGACATACACGGTAATTCTTGGCGTAATTTATAATTTAATTTATAGTCATTAGATTTCAACGGACACCTTTGTATAATATATTTACTTTAAAAAGGACTTTTAATTTTACCGGTTTGGAAAACATACGAATCATTTTTAATGGCTATGGGTGTAGTAACTAACATTCAGCCAAAGACTGATCGAAGTTGTTTAGATAACATAAAAACAAATCTACATATTTTTATTACACTATGGTATTAATATCCACAACTATATTATCATTTTCACTTCATGCAAATGTGCTCAGACAATTATTATAGATGGTAGGCGACATCATAAAGTCTATTGCCATACATTTTTCGCCAAACACCTCCATAAACACATTATAATCTGTTTATATGTTAGACTTTAAGGTACTATCTATGGGCCTACGTTGCCTAACTATAAATTAATAAATAAATAAAATTATAAGGTGTGATACACTAAAAATCTAAAATGTGGTTATACTAAAAACATAACAAAAATAATAAAGCTACTGAATATATATAACCTAAATCTTTAGCTTTCTTTGGTTAACGAGAGTTTAAAAATTCTCTCTAATCTGTGGCTCATTCACAATCATCACACAGTTTCTGTCACAGAGTACCTTATTATAACCGGAAATGCATAGATGACACCTGATTTTATAAGTTACTCTTATGCATTAACTTTAAAAATAGGCAACTATCTGTTAATCTTCATGCTCTATATACCTGAATCTAATCCATAATTTCGGTATTTGGCTTGATTTCTCTAGTTTACTATATAACTAATTTGTTTTTTATTATTTTAATATGTTCAGTGTACATGGTTTATAGAAGTTCTCAGGGGTGTTCGTCAATAATATTCGTTTCTACAGTAATTTATATATAATTTCGAAACTAGGAAACAAATTTTCATGATTATTGGTCTTTAGGCCAAACATGTAAGGAAGCTGAGCAATCTCCTTTTCAATCTTATGTAAAACTCATACATACTTAATAAATTAGACAAAGCTCAAAGCAAGTTGGAGAAATTTTGGATATTAATATTACATGACCGATCAGTGTTGTGTTCATGGCATGATAAATATAACTAACGATTACATTGCATTCGCTATCCTGTGTCCGCCGCCTGCGGTACCAGTTAAACGGGATTTTATTATTTTAACCAGCCATATTATAACCATTGACATTTAAAAGCACAATGACCCAGGCTGGCTTGCCTTGGGTGCGGAGACGCGGCAGAATCCCTAAACGGGGATCCCGCGGTTTCGCACTTAGTAGCTTAGAGGGTATTCGCAGAATTTTTTTAGCGGATATTATGCCATAAAGCGTCCATAAGAGTTACGGGGTCCTCAGTGGTCAGCCAGGTATGAGGTCCGTTCGGCGGTGTGCCTCTTATAGACGCCGTCGTCTGTAAATAGAGGTTTTGCCTGCGTCACAAAAAAGGGCTGGATTGCCTTGAATAAAAAAGTATTGGGAAAAATAAATTGGGTGAATGTTCCAAAATATTTTTTACAATGCCCTTTTCAGTGTTTTGGGAATATTATAAGACCTTAATGTGGTTTGATCTCATGGCATGTACCATTACTTCTAAGCGTTACTAAAAACGTGACTCTTAACTGTGTCAATTGGAACATCTGGCTGCCCTACTTAATTAATTATTAGTGCTAGAGAAATGCACGTAGTTTTGTTCAATTTGAATATTACAGTTGTATATCATCATCAGCCTATATATGTCCCTGCCCTGCCCACTGCTGGGGCACAACTTCCTTTTTAGGGATAGAATATGAAGAATACGCCATGCTCCACCACGGAGACCTAATGCGGATGGAAAATACTCGTATATCTCCAGAGTTGATTATTTTATTTTCACCACAGACGCAATGTCTTGTAAGTAGTTGAATGAAATTGAGATGAATGTCTCGAAGAAACCTTACCTCTTAATCGCAATAATGTAGGTACTTCGTAAGTATTAGTTTTCCTCTATTGTTCTCAGTGAGCATTTTGTGCTAGATCAAAGTATAGTTTTAGTCAGATTGCAATTATTTTATGATCTTAAAATGTTAAACTAAAAATCGTCTCGTCGTTAATGTAAGTACTTTTTAACATTCTTTATACATATAAAAAAACTTCCCTGTTGTCTTGGAAATGGAAATAAATGAGTGCAGTTGCTTAACTTGATTAACAATTTCATTAGGTTTAGAAATTTTACTTACCTATTACTCATTCTGAGAGCATAAGAAAATCGTATATAGGAAGGGGCAGGTAGCTGATTTCTTTCCGTCTTTGTAACATTCTATATACCTAGCTGATTTCTTTCCGTCTATGTAACATTATATAAACCATGGAACTAGAATTTCTATATTGGGACCGGCGGCGCAAAGTAAATAGGTCTACGGACCTGGCAAGGAAAATTCAAAATCTAATTCGAATTGCTAACAAAAATACTTCGGTGGGGTATGTCATCGCAATATTCGCAATATGCAACTTCCTCCATTGAACAACTTTCATCTCATCACAAAATAAATTATATTGGTTTGCTTGCATTTATCGGACATTGTGGTGAAAACTACTTTTTTTAACTCTCCTAATTTTAAAAACCTATAAAATATTTCCACTTTTGTTATTAAAACCGTAGTTTGATTTCATAACATCCGCACGCAACATTTGCGTCAATAAAATCTGTTATCTTACTATCACAAAGCAAATGGAATTCTACGTTTGAAATATTATTTAATGTGTTACTTGTGGATTTTCTTATAGTATAATTATCTCAAACATGTGAAAATTTTAAATAAACACTCGTCTATTACGACATTTCATGTTTTAATATAATGTACTTACAGAGATTCGAAAGAAAAAAAGCACCAGCAGTTTGTACCTGTATCATAACTGTGTTGTCTAGTCTGTCATCCATCTCTAAACATCCTTCAAACGGTTTCACTACCTATTCCTACATGAAAATATATTTTTATGTAAAAGGGGTGCCAAACCAACACATAGCATATAGAATCATGCGATCCCAGAACATTTCTGACCTTATTCTAACCAGTAAAGCTGCCTACTCACTGATAGAAACGATACCACCAAAAGTGTTATTTCACCGTGTTCTTCTGTTATGTGGTGGTTACTTCCTCAGATGCGCACTCCAATTCACGCGGAAAGTTCTTCCGTAATGTTTTAGATATTCTAGGTTGAGGCAAAGCTAGTATATTGCAGCAAAACTGCAACATCTTATCGGCTTGCTTGCATTTGCTTGATTGCAACATAAATACATCCAGGTTTTATTAACTTTGTACTATAGTTTTATGTTAATACATACTTTAAACTTTTATAATGTACTAGTGAGAGTGCATGTGAATTCGTTTGTGTAAAATTATTTACCTTTCATACAAACTTACTTCCCTTATTCACATTTTTAAGATTTGTTTTCTAGTCCACCATACTAAAATTCATCAAAATCCGTTTAAGCGGTATAGAAGCGCGATGGTGGGGACTAAATACTCGGAAAACTAGGTGCTTTACTGGACATTGATATATCACCGATGTTTTTCATTAGCACCTAGAAGACCTCCGTTAGTACTCTGGACAGTGTTACCGAGTGCGGTGAACGAAAGACAGCCCAACATATGACCGCAAAGTCGAAATGCATTGACCATCTAAGGCGAGTCTGTTTTTGTCTTGCACGAAAGGAAAACGGCATAACCTTAAAAATAGCGTAGGCTAGAGACGCCTCTGATAACTTTAATAATAATATTTTTTCTTAACACGCGCACCATTTAGTCTAGCCCCAAAGTGAGCACTGTAAGACTTGTGCTATGGGATACCAGGGTAACGGATAGAATACATATACTGATACATAGATGAGTAGATTATTACATCTAAAAAATATAAGTTTAGTTTTATTTAGAAATAGTTATAAACATCCACGACTTGGTACAAATTCTCGTATTCATCACACAAACATTTGCCCCACCGGGATGCATATGTACTTCGAACATATGCATATGTCGTGGCCATATCGTAGATTTGCTCATTTCATGAAATGCTCGAGAATTTCATGAATGGTCATATTTCATGATGAGGGCAACTTAATTTGACCAGATCATTAAATCGTCAACATTTAACGATTTGGTCATCCACATTTGGCCGGATCGTATAATTAGGGTGTCCATAAAATATTTATTAAAAATCCAGAATATGTAAGAACTTGGGGGTCATCCATAAAATACGTCACACGAATTTCATGATTTTTTGCCCCTCCACCCGTCCTTGTGACAGCTGATGACATTTGTGAGACTCCCCCCTACCTAGTGTGACGTCACATATTTTTCAAATTTCCATTTAGAAATTATAGAATGAAAACAGCGATTCCGAAAACAGTTATATTTTTTCCATTTAATTAATTTTTAAAGTGAAATTCTTTATGCACGCTTAACTGGGGGGGGGGGGGGGGGGGTGTAAGCTGGCGAATACGTTTCGCGTTACGAAAAGTGTGTTCGGGCGAGCAAGACAAAGCAGTGCGCGCGCACATTTTATTTTACTCGTTCTCCTAAAATATAATATTTAATTTCTTAGGTTTTCACGCACATCACTCATTAAATAAAACTAGTTTTAACGGGGTAATGCACGAAACTTTATTTATTTATTGACGTGCCTTTTCAGGTCTGCATCGTCAGAATACTGATTTTTTATTTAATTTGAAGGCAGCTCAACAAAATTAAATAAAAAATCAGTATTCTGACGATGCAGACCTGAAAAGACTGCGCAACGTCAATAAATAAATAAAGTTTCGTGCATTAACCCGTTAAAACTAGTTTTATTTATATAATATTTAAATTATAGATACAAACTTAATAATCTTGTGTGCATAGACATTGAAGCCACTCCTTTAAATTATTTATAACTGGCATACCAGCCACTTTGTTCTCGTTTGAGTTGTTAATGTTTTCGTAAAGTAATATTTACTTTAAAGTTCGTGTTTGAACACTTAGATTATAATTTTGAAATGTGACGTCACGAAATTTAGGACCCTCCCTCCCACCCCCTTGTCCCACGATGTCACACTTCGTCGACCCCCTCCCTTCCCCTTAATGTTTGACGTAATTTCTGGATGGCCCCTTGTTTATTGTTATTTAAGTCCGAATGACACAAACAAATTTAATAAAATTTTTGTAACAAAATAAACAAATTACAGTTTTTGGAGTTTACTCCTTAAGAATCGATTGCATATATAAAGGGCCCGGTATGTGAAAAATGTGAGGAGTAAAATCGATGAATGACTTCGTTACGTTTTTGGTACGCATCCTATGTCGCACAACTTTGACAAACAAAAATTTTTACAATCTGAACAGAATTTAGATATTGTTTCTGATAGAGCAATGGGGACAACGAGGTATGGTACAACCATTGATGCGGTATTTTCAAGATTCGTGAACCACGCATCTACGAACGTCCATGTGTCTTATTTTAGTTACCATAAACCACTTGTCACTGTAATTAATAATGCAGACAATGTTGATTTAATTAATATTTAAAAAAATGATAATAGTCTGATAATAATAATTACATAATTTATCAACATTCCTAATGATATATTTATGCACATCTGAAATTGACTATTGTAAAAAGTTTAATGTAAAATATTTCGTCGATTAGTTATAATAAATGTATATGAAATGAATAAATATATATTTATATATGCATATTATTTTCATTAATTTGTTAATTTACCCTTTCATACAGTATCAATCTTTTTTAAGTTAAATAAACTCTTTTTGCGTCTGGTTAGACTATCGAACTTAAGGAGTAAACTCCAGTCGTGCGTCGGAGCTGACACACACAATTTTTTTTTAAATTTAACATAAAACATGTCAGGAACTTACACATTTGTATTTAGAAAACTATCAAATATTTAGAAATAATAAGGTACTTTGGTACACATTACAATAGTAGTTCTTCCAGGGTCCAAACGGTAATACTTCACACTAGGTTAGGTTAGATTAGTGATGTGACCATAGCGCGCGAGCAAAGCGAGCGTGCCGCGGCAGCGGCCGGCGAAGCGCCAGAAAAAAAAAACTATTAAAACAGACCTTTTCTACAAAAGAAATTCAAGTATCACCTCTTGTGCCCTGGAAGTACAGTTTTACAGTATATCTTTGTACGGCATTGATTCTCATCCGCACTTTGTACCTCAACCGCAGTTTCCAAAATGTCATATTTTGACAGCCAGTAATAGTCCATAGATTTCTTTTGCGTAGTCACCCTACTCTTCTTAATTTGTTTCGTCGAAAACCCTTTTGTTATCACTTTCTTCCTCATTAAATAACGCATTATGGACTTTTTCACTACGAGAAACAACATTGTCGGCAGCGGCCGCCATATACATATATAAACAAAGCGCTTGCAGCGCCTCTACCGGCGGCTAATTAATGTAACTACTTTACAATATGATCAAATAATTTTTGCCATTTCATGAAGTAGCCACGCGTTTAGTTGGCCATATCGTGAAACGATTTCTTATCATTGATCTGCCCAAACCACATCATGATGTGGCCAATAGATAGTGAAACATTTTATGAAATGCAACCATTTCATGAAATTCTTAAGCATTTCATGAAGTGAGCAAATCTACGATATGGCCACGGCACATCTACTTGGAGTGTAGGTACTTTATTACAACACAAATTTTCTTGTTTCCTAGTTGGACTGCCTGTATTACGACCTGGGACTGCCTCACCGCGACGCGACAGACGACCAGGTGACCATAGATGCTGCGCACGCAATTCTGAAGCACAATGTCGGCATCAAATGTGCGACAATAACTCCCGATGAGCAGAGAGTAGAAGGTTTGCAATTTTAAAACTGTTTTTCATAGGTGTGGTATTAAAGTCGCTGGTCATCATTTGTCCGGAAGTATGAATATCGCAATTTTTTTCTCATCTGTGAAAGTCTGTTTTGTAGTTTTTTGTTTCTGCAATGGGGTAGATTGCCGTAACATATACATAATAATAATAAGTATGTATCTACTATCCATCATCCATCCATCCATCAGCCTTTCTCCGTCCACTGCTGGACATAGGCCTCCCCCATAGAACGCCACAATGCGCGGTCCTGCGCTATCCGCATCTAGCGGCTCCCAGCACATTTAACGATATCGTCAGTCCACCTTGTTGGGGGCCGCCCCACGCTGCGTCGTCCGGTACGTGGTCGCCACTCGAGGACCTTTCTTACCCAACGGTTGTCAGATCCTCGAGCGATGTGGCCTGCCCATTGCCACTTCAGCGTGCTAACTCTTCGGACTATGTCTTACACACCGGTCCTTCTACGGATCTCCGTATTTCGGATCTTATCATGTAGGGAAACACCGAGCATAGCCCTCTCCATAGCACGCTGCGAGATTCTGAGTTTTGTTATGAGGCCGACATTCAGAGACTACGTCTCAGTCCCATAAGTCATCACAGGTAACACACACTGGTCATAGACCCTGCTTTTCAGGCACTGGGGAATTTTGGCCGTGAGGATGTGCCTAAGCTTCCCGAACGCTGCCCATCCGAGTTGGATTCGTCGGTTGACCTCTTTCTCGAAGTTGGATTTGCCCAACTGGACTGTTTGTCCTAGGTAGACGTAATGATCGACAACTTCGAGAGTCGCATTCCCAACAGATACTGGTGCTGGAGTGACATGGACATTGAACATGACTTTGGTTTTATCCATGTTCATCCTTAAACCAACCCGTTGGGAAACTCTGCTGAGGTCATTGAGCATTGTGCCAAAGTCCTCCAGGGATTCTGCCATAACAACGATATCGTCTGCAAATCGAAGGTGAGTGATGTATTCGCCGTTGATGTTGATGCCGAGTCCGGTCCAATCCAGAAGCTTGAAGACGTCTTCCAATGCAGCGGTGAACAGTTTCCGGGAAAATACGTCCCCCTGTCTGACACCCTTCTGCAATGGAATCGGTTTCGTTCTTCTCTTCTGGATTCGGACTGACATAGTGGCGTTTCTATACAAATACTTCGATATATCGATAGTCAATTTGGCACCGCTGGAGGGACTGCAGCACCGCCCAAGTCTCGACCGAATCGAAGGCCTTCTCATAGCACATACGCTAGACACAGAGGCCGATTATACTCCTCAGTCTTCTGTATGATCTGACGCAGCGTATGTATGTGGTCCATGGTACTAAAGCCCTTTCGGAAACCGGCTTGTTCGGGAGGCTGGAAGTCGTCGAACCTGCGCGAAAGTCGATTTGTAATGACTCTCGAAAACAACTTATAGACGTGGCTCAAGATCGAGATAGGTCGATAGTTCTTCAAGCGGGTTTTATCGCCTTTCTTGAAGAACAACACCACCACGCTCCTGGTCCACGCCTCTGGAACAATGCCCCCGAGGATGACAGAGTCGAATAGCTTCTGAAGGGCCACGAGGACCGGCTTACCGCCCGCCTTCAGAAGCTCCGTAGTGATTCCGTCATCGCCCGGTGCTTTACTGTTTTTAAGCTGCTTGAGAGCCATTCTGATCTCGTACAGGCTGACATCCGGGATGTCCTCGGTAAAGTGTCGGGTTAGCTTGGATCGTGGATCTTGGACCAAGCCGACAACAGGAGTTTGGGATGTTTTGTACAACTGTCCATAGAACAGCTCGACCTCACTCAAGATCTCATCTTTGGAAGAAATGACAATGCCGTTGTCGGTCTTCAGTCTGGTTAACTGACTCTGCCCAACAGACAGATCTTTTGCGAACACTTTGGAGCCTTGGATCCGTTCTATCGCCTCTTTAATACGCTTGGTATTGTAGAGGCGAATATCGCGTCGTACAGACTTCGAGATCTGTCTATTTAGCTGCCTCATCTTAGACCAGGAGGCTGGAGACTGCACCGTCATTTCCCTCCTCCGTTCCATGAGCTCAAGAGTGTGGTCAGAGAGTTTTCCGGTTCTAGGAGCACGGCGGGTCCTGAAAAATTTCGACCCAACCGTGTGAACAGTTTCCACAAACTTGTTGTTCATATCGTTCGCCGTTTCGCACTTGTCTAGGCATTGGAAGCGATTTTGAAGTTCGAGTCGAAAGCTTTCGGAATTTTCGTACTCTGCAGGTGTGGGACGTAGAGCAGACTTCATCAGTCGGGACCGCTCGGCTTTGACACGAATATTCAATTCGCTCCCGGTTTTCACCCTGTTGATCACTGAGACATCATTGAATATTTGCCGTTTGTCTGACAAGATAAAGTCTATCTCGTTCCGTGTCGAACCATTAGGGCTTATCCAGGTCCATTTCCTTTGATGCGACTTTTTGAAGAAGGAATTCTTCATTTCATATATAGGAATTGTTCCGTTTTTTCCGGATACGGATCTTATGTTTCTCTAATATATACGATACTTTTAAATATAAATAAATAATAATAATAAATAATTTTCCTGGTTATGTCAGTTTTAAAGTGGACACGTTAAAAATATCTGCGAATAAATTATTTCAAGGACTAGGAATGTGGTTGCTAACACCACCCGCCTATGATTAATTTATTTCTCAACCTTATTCACAGATAAATTTGTAAAAGAGGTTGAGCGGCAACTTGGTCAAGTTGCTTACTATCTGTTTTATAATTTTATACATATCCGTTTATTCCTGCATGCAATTCATGACGAAACTGTAATGGTGTTATTATTTTCATGACGTATTACTTATATAGATAGACATAACGACATTTTCTTTGGTTATGGAGAAATGAATGGAGCCAAGGTTGATTTTAAAAGACACATTGTAAAAATAATACTGCAAACAATTCTAGTCGGTCCAGGTGGAAAATTACCTATATTTGTTAATCAATCACATTACTATTTAACAGTAAATATAATCAATATTGATAAACAAAACTTCCCACGTAGAATTCAACCTGAAGAAGATGTGGCTGAGCCCCAACGGCACGATTCGTAACATCCTGGGCGGCACTGTGTTCCGAGAGCCCATACTTTGCGCGAGCATCCCACGCGTGGTGCCGGGCTGGACCAAACCCATCGTGATCGGCAGACACGCACACGGGGACCAATACAAAGCACAAGACTTCGTCGTGCCCAAGCCGGGGAAGGTTAGTGAAGTTACAGCTGTTGTTACTGGCAATAAGTGGCGTGTATGAAGCGTATTGGTGCTTATATTGTACGCAAGTATTCCACGCATGATGCCTAGCTTGTATAAACACACGGGGACCAGAACAAGGCATGACTTCATCGTACCCAAGCCGGGGAATGTTAGTTGAGTTACAGCTGATGTATTTAGCCGAAGGTATTGTTTCTGGTTCCTATAATGTAAGCTGGTAACCCGCGCGTGGTGCCGGGCTGGACTAAACCCATCGTAATTGGCACATGCACACGGGGACCAATACAAGGCGCAGGATTTCGTCGTACCCAAGTCGGGGAAGGTAAGAAAAGTTACATGAGTATTTCGCCTGTCATGCGGAATGAATGAAGTCCATCGTAATCGGCAGGTGTGCGACATCATAATTCTTGCCTAGAAAGGAGGTCAATGAAATTCCAGTGATTATAAATTGCGTAGTCAGGAGAGTTATGCATTTACTGCACATAGAACTTGAAATTTATTTACTTTATAAAACGTGCATTTCCTATGGATATTCTCACGGATGTTTTTCACACTTTATTATTTTATTTCATACGAATTTCGCTTTAGATTTGAAGAGATCGTGTAAAGAGTACTTAAAAGTTAAAAAGTTATTCTCCAACCTTCTTAATATATTTCAAATTCATTAATCATTATACAGGTTGAAATGGTATACACGGCGGAAGACGGCACAGTCACGAATTACCTACTATACAACTTCAAATCGCCGGGTGTCGCGATGGGGATGTACAACATAGACGAATCCATCAGAAGCTTTGCCCATTCCAGTTTTCAGGTAAGCTTCATAATTGCATGTTTTGATTATCTTTTACCCATGTTTTAACTAATAAAAGCTCAGATTACAGAACAAAAGGAACGTACGGAACACGCAAGTGCGATTAAGAAAGCTAATACAAAGTCAAAAATAAAGACTTTTTTGTCTTCGTGAACAGTCTTTACAGTGTTTGAACTGGGCGGCACAGTTTTGATAAAACTTAATATTCACGGGACGTATATATTTCGTAACACGACGCGTTGTAGCGTACTGACGCCAGTTTGTATTCGCTTTTGTCTTCGTATTTGCTTTGGCCCTTTTGTTCTGTAATCTGAGAATAAAAGTATTTAAGTAAGCTTTTTAACTTCCTTTAGGTAGCGCTACAAAAGAAATGGCCTCTATATTTGTCTACAAAGAACACAATATTGAAGCGGTACGACGGTCGCTTTAAGGACATTTTCGAAGAAATCTATCAGAGGTAAGTATTACAAACAAAAAAACACATAAACTTACAAATACTATTATCAGCTTTTTTGTTTTCGTTAAATACCTATGATGCTGTTACTTTTTTGCGATAATAGGTAATAGAAAATATAGTAAGACCTCATGTGGTACGACCGCGCAGGTAACGGCCAATTTCAGTAATAAATCATCACAAGTAAGAAATGCCCTTTTTTATTTGTTAATGGGTAAGCCGTAAGCTCTTGATCCCCTATCCAGTCCGAGAGTAGAGATGGCATCTGCAGTATAGCGAGCTATTCACTGTAGCTCTAATAAGAGTAAACTTATTTTGGCTACACTTTACGCAAAAAAAAAACTAGTCAACTGAGTTACTAAAAGGCATATCTCTTACTCAGAAGAGGGTCTTTAAACCGTCCTCTAATGATGTATCAAATTCAATTAATTTAATATCTGAAAGACGGGCCCGTAAAACTAATTAAAACTTTATAACATCAAAGCGATTACAAGAAACAGTTCGAAGACGCGAAGATCTGGTATGAGCACCGCTTGATCGACGACATGGTGGCGCAGGCCATCAAAGGCTCCGGCGGGTTCGTGTGGGCCTGCAAGAACTACGACGGAGACGTGCAGTCCGATATTGTGGCACAGGTAAGGAAAACTGTTATTTTTTGGTCATTTTGTCCTAATTAGGACGGGCAAATTCTGACTCCATACAGCCCTGTCTGTAAACTTTTACCCTTAAAGTGAAAATTGTTTTTTTTTTTTAAATGAATTTCTAGTTTACTAAAGGCTTAGTTTGAATTTGCGTTATAATCTTTTTGCTCATCAAAAAGTATAAGTTCCATATCCAACCATTCTTTACCTTGCCTCTTTTAATTATCTGTAAATTATCCTACATCCGGGTCGCTAAATAACAGCAAATTTTTGTCCAACCAAATAGGGCCGTATTTGGTGTTTTTTAAACAGACAAAGATCGAAATAAAAAACGCAGGTGTATAAATTTCCGTGCCAAAAGGGAGACCTATGGTCTTCCTTTTAATAATTTTTGTCTTCGCGTCACCGTTCTCGATACTGGCCGTTAATCGTAATGTTTACAAAATATCTAACTATGTATAAACAATTTAATCGAAATAGGTGACATGGGGGCTTTGTTTTTTCACCACTCATTTGTTCTAACGAGTACTCAAAATCTGATACGCTCGGATTCCATAGAATTTGAAGAACATGCGGCGTCTATATCTAGGTCTGTGGCTCTTTAGTTTAAAGTTTAGTTGTCCCCTTTCGCTGATATGAGAGACAAATTTTCATTTCGCAAAGAACTTTTCTTTGCTTTACCTTAATAAAATTATCAGTAAATTTTGCGGACCGTATCGGTTGTTTCTTTTTATTTCAAAGTTTAGTTGTTCCGTTTCACTGATACGGAAGTCCAATTCTCGTATCGTAAAGATCATAGTGAAAGACCAATTTAAAATTTTGCATAGGGTTAAGACCCGTAGTCTTTAGGTATGATGAGGGCACTGCTGATGTGCCCAGACGGCAAGACTGAAGTCGGTGCACGGAACTGTCATAAAGTTAACTTGTACCATTTCGCTGTTACGAGAGATAAGTTTTCGTTTCGCAAATAACAGTTATTTGCTTTACTTCTGTTAATTATCAAATCAAGCCGAATCATGTGTTTTTCTCAATGTTTAGTTCCCCCATTCACTGTCAATGATATGAAAGCAATTATTGTATCATGTCAAGATTTAAAATTTCGCGCAGGGTTACGGGTCTTTGGGTATGATGACGTCAGTGCTGATGTGCCCGGACGGCAAGACCGTAGAGTCCGAAGCGGCTCACGGCACCGTCACTCGCCATTACCGGATGCATCAACAAGGGAAACCGACTTCCACCAATCCGGTGGCTTCTATATACGCTTGGACCAGAGGGCTGATGCATCGGGCCAAACTGGACAACACACCTGAACTGGAGCGATTCGCGTTAGCTTTGGAACAAGTTAGTTTTTGATACGTCACATTACAGCATGCATCTATAGCGGAAATATATTTCCACCAATCCAGTGGCGTCATATACGCATGGACCAGAGGACTGATACATCGGGCCAAACTAGACAATACACCTGAACTGGAGCGATTCGCGTTAGCTTTGGAACTAGTAAGTTTTTGACACGTCACATTACAGCATGCATCTATAGGGGAAATATATTTCCACCAATCCAGTGGCGTCATATACGTATGGACCAGAGGACTGATGCATCGGGCCATATCAGCAATACACCTGAACTGGAGCGATTCGCGTTAGCTTTGGAACAAGCGGGTTTTTTAACACGTCCCATTACAGTAAGTATCAACAGGGGAATTTTATAACGATTCGCGTTAGCTTTGGAACAAGCGGGTTTTTTAACACGTCCCATTACAGTAAGTATCAACAGGGGAATTTTATAACGATTCGCGTTAGCTTTAGAACAAGCGGGTTTTTTGACACGTCCCATTATAGTAAGCATCACAGGGGAAATTTATTGCTGATTTTACTTTGAATATAATAGTAGGGGAGCCCAAGCGGGGAGTTTGGGTTTAACTTGAGCACGACAGAATAATATAAGGGGCAACCTTATACCTTGTGAAGTGCTCCCGCTATACCTGAGCCCTTTATATGGGATCGAAGTCTAGCAAAAATATCTACAGACGGCCATGACTTTTGGTCGCGTCCAAATCTTTTGAATAGAAGCTACTGGAGGGTTCACCTAACACCCCTTTTCAATGTCTGACGCGATCAAATATTAAAATAAAATTGTTTGTTTCCTATGTTCCCCCTTAACAGTATAAAATATCGATCCTGAAATATAAAAAAAAAACCACGGGAGTGCAGGCAGAAGTGAAAACTTGAATATTAACGTTGTGCATTTTTGATATTTTGGAATGGTTAGGGAATAGTTTAGCACGAATTTCTTTAATTATCAGTACAGTAGTACTATCATTTATGTGATAGAATACAACATTTATTTATTGCGTTACACAAACATGGCAATTTATATTACATTAAAAAGTTTATCTCTCAAAATTTCTCATTTAAGCGCACCTAGCGACATCAATTGTAAAAAAAATGCATTTTCTTCGCAATAAAATATAATAGATAGAGACATATTATTATAATACGATAAAATAAAATATCTAAAATACTGTTTCGTCCAATATATTGAAAGTCAACAACCTTTCCAATTTTATTGTTTTCGTCTTACGATCAGGACACGTGGCCTGTGATGCGAACAGCCCACGTGTCATGACGCGAGTTTAACATTTTTTACCCATACAAAAAAAGTGTACAACGCCGCTAAAGAAGTTTTCACTTCAAAAAACAAACCTATAGAGGCTTTCATGGCATTAATACAGAGATCCTTTTGTTATAGAATCATGTATAAATAAGATAGGCAATAATGTAAATAAACATAATGTGATATAGACACAATGCGGCGTACTTATTACGTTAACTTTGTAGGTTATTTAGGACAAAATAAGTTTAACATGCCTTCTTATTTACTTATTACCGAGTGTCAGTCACATTTTAAATTGGTTAAGATAGGAACGCAATGACCTTTTGGATTATCTATAAAACCTAACCTATCTCAATGTTAATCATGTTTATAGTCTATCTTTAATAAGATTACAGTAAACATCATTTATATACAAAACAATCTGAAGTTGTACCTACCCTCAGTTTTTAATGAACAGAGTTTACTTTAAGATATACTTTATTCATGTGGCTTTGTTTTTGCAGGCTTGCGTGGAGTGCATTGATAGTGGGAAAATGACAAAGGACTTGGTGATTTGCATTCACGGCTTGGCTAACACTAAGGAAGGCATGTTTTTGCACACTGAAGACTTCCTTCTGGCCATCGCCGATCAATTAGAGCGCAAACTATCCTCTAAATAATTGTAAAGAAATTATAAATGATAAATTTTATAAATCATTGGCATTCTTTGAATGTCTGTGTCTTTGATTATAAACACGCCTAGATAGAGATTCCAAATAAAATACACAAAGAAAACGGCTCATGTTACGCGCAACGTCTTTAATGTCATTTTTTGAAAGCAGTCAATGTGTGCATGTGTAGAGACGAGCATATCCACCATATGTAGTAGATATTTTTTGGGCCGCTTCCGTGCAGTTCAGGCGTGTATATAATCAAAGGTATTAGTGTTATTTTCAATTCATAATTATTTTGTCCATCAAGCTCAGTATCATGAACAGCTAATTAAAGTATTAGTTATTCGATAATTTACTGAATAATTAAAGATTTTATTATTCTTTATAATAATAAATAAGAACATGTTTACCTACATCATTTTGATAGCTATGACTTTAAGTTGCCTGTGCAAAGTACTTTGTATTTAGTAAGTATGATTTCAATTCCATACGAAATAAAAAATAATTATTGTTATTATAATAAGCTCACTAAACTATGAATTCGCCAGAGTAAAATTTTGTATAAATATTCGAGGCTAAGATTTTTTTTGTGATATTTATGTATGATTCCATGTTCCAATAAATGTAATAAGGTATCAGGTTTCAAAAACAGGCACAGGTAATAATTTACAATGCTTCTACTTTAGAGAATTACTAATTTGCAAATTAAAAGTAAAGGGGGTCTTAAATGGCGACTTTGGATGAAACATCTAAACACCGTCTACGAATTCTTCAATTTGAGATTTTAAGCTTTCCTCAAACAGATGCGGCTGCGATCACGGTTAGGGTTAACATCCGGATTAGTCCGGACTTTTAGCCTCTAGTCCGGACTTTTTAATTACTCGTACTTGACTTAATTTATTTATTTATATTTTTCTGTTAAACCGTTTGTCCCAATCTTTAAATGTAAGCAGTTTTAAAAAAATTGGAAGATACCCTACTATTAAATGGTAACCCTTGTCACGGTTGCGACGTTCACGGTTGAAGGTTCACAGTAGCGCGGTAGGGAACTTGTATTTTTAATAATTTGTGCAGTTAGCAATAAACGTCACCACAGACCATAGAGGTACAAGAATAGAGTAGGGGAGATATAGACTCTACTACAAGTGGAAGTGTCTCTTTAATAGAAAGAGAAAGAAGATGAGAGACCGCTGGCTTTCTCACTAATCGCGCATGCGCATTGGCAACCGTATGCATCTTACTATTTCGATGTGATGCTTGGACCAACTATTAGATAGACGACTCCACACGTGTCACAAGAGATAGGGATAGCTAGCGGTCTCTCATCTTCTTTCTCTTTCTACTACACGGATACTTTTAGAGCCGCCTTACCCATTTTATTCTTATACCTCTATGCCACAGACACGAGCGGTGGTACAGGGTTGAAGTGATCGCGTCCTGACCACGCCAATGTGAAATGCTCCCTGTTCTACTACTGACACTTCTGACAGCGACCGCAGATTGCCTCTGTTGAGTGGAGGCTTTGCACACTGATACAAATTGGTCAAATTTCACTTTAATTTCTTAATTTGATGTTTTCGATTAGCTTTATTGTTTAAGAATTAATAAATGAATTTTATAATGAGCAATATATTAATCATGCAATCTCGGTATTTAAGACCCCAATGTACTGCTTTCGATAGATCTTGTTACTTGTTACTCTGTTAGTAGTTAGTTTAGCAATAACCGGAAGACTGAGCTTCAAATTTATGACTGATTATATTATTCGAAATGAGATTGATTTACACTGTATTAATGAGTACTTTTAAGAATTACAATGTGTATTTTATTCAAATAGAATTAAGTAAGTAGGTAATCATTGTAATAAATAAATCATTATGTATTTTTGAAATCTCCGTTTTGATTGCTATTTACATTATACTTTCAATATATATTTTAACCATTGTGAATGTATATATTTACATTTGTATGTATGATTCATCATCATTATAATTTTATTTTTATAATTCTGGGTTTTAACTTTATATGGTCATTTCCTTAACCTATAATTATCATTATTGCAAAAGAACGGAAATCAAATAAAATGCTCCTGCTAACTGATAGTAAGCGGCCATCATAGCTTAAAAACACTTGCAATATCAGAGTTTCACTTGCGTGATTGCTTATATCAACTCCATAGACTTTTTAATTCTTGTTACCTTTGCTCATCCTTTATTACAGAAAATAAAAATAATTGTTTATTTTATGCAAGTATTTTTCTAGGAACATATATTTTAGGTTATTTTTTTTCAAGATTTTATGTTAATCATGAATCATGATTAGGTATATTAATACATATAGAGTCCGCGCCACGACTCATGTGCGATAGACGCGGCGCCTCTGTCTTGTAAAAAAATGTTGCCAGTAGGAAGAAATTTTCTCCCACATCTCATTACTTCAAAATTATTTTTATTCATCGGAATTAAATATTTTTTGTAACTCAAATAATGACACAAAGAATATTTATCAATAAAACAATATTATAAAGTTTAATATAATTTAATGCAATAATTGTGGTCATCATGATACAATTCTTTTACGCCAGATATATCGCAATCACTGTTGCTCAATTCTTCCTCTGTGGAATCATCAGATTCAGTATCACTATCACTCACTGTTGATATTATGAATCTCTCCATTTCCACATCAACTAGTCCGTCATTTTTAAAGTACTCATCTTCAAGATGTTCCACGTGGTTACACTGAACGCTCCAGTCTTCTGGCGTAACACTAGCAAAAGCAGCTTCTGTCAATTCTATTATTCTTTTTGGATCTTGAGCAACATTTTTATCAGCAACGCGTCTCTTTACCAAACTCCAAATTTTTTCGATAGGATTTAGGTCACAGTGGTAAGGAGGTAATTTTACCACTTCGTGATTGTGTTGTTTCAGTAGTTCATCAACTGCAAAGAGCGGTGGTTCTTTGTTTCTTTTAATGATATCATATAACACTGGTTTAGTCCATCTCTCTTTAAAATAAATTTGTATTTGTCGTAACCACTCCTGCATATGTGATTTTGAGCTTGACATCGTAGGAGCTTTGTTTATCTGAGTGCAATGATACGGAGCATTATCCATTACCACAAGAGATTTTTCAGGCAGATTTGGTACCACTTTTTCAGTCATCCATTTCAAAAAGTTTGTGGCGTTCATATCGTCGTCATAATCTGCAGATTTTGATTGTGACCTAAACATTAATAACGCATTTTTTACAAATCCGCTCTTAGTACCCGCATGTGCAATTATAAAACGTTTTCCAGCTGATTCTGATATCAATAATCCATCTTCTTCTTTGCTTTGCCAACAGCTTTTAGCGTGATATGTCGGATGAATGTAAGTTTCATCTAAGTACACCACAGGCCTTTTGTCAACTAGCCTATTTTTCCTCATTCTTTCAATGTACCTGGCGCGCCAAGCAGTAATATCATGTCGCTCCATCAACACTTTGCGTTTAGATTGACAACGTTTGAATCGAAAACCTAACAGTTTCAATATTCTTCGTAAAGTTGTATTACTCCCTTGAAAATTTATATCCCTTTTTAATTCCAAACGCAGTTTATTAACATTAGGCAATTCTTTTTTCACAACATAGAAAAAATGAATTTTTTGGCGTATGCAACACAAATCAAAGTCATCCAAATCAATTTTCTTAGCTTGTGGACGACTTTTTCCAGGAGTAATAATTTTATTTGATGTTGCCATTGCAGTTTTTCCTTCTTTAGTGATTCTTGACACTGTTTTAACAGACACACCTAAAATCACAAAGAAACCAGTTTAAACTATTATTAATTGATTCATCATTAAACAATATATTGTACTCGCAACCGAAAAAAGGTGAAAACTGACTACTTTAATTATAAATTGAAGTTAATAAATATAAAACTACAATAAAATGCAACACAAACATTTTTTTTTGTATAAATTATTTAAACATGACACAAGCCTAACAGAAAATGTTACTCCATAAAATGAGGTAAACATCAATGACCTTACAAACCTAAAATTTACCTGTCATGGCAGCGACTCGCATTTGAACATTTTGTAAAGGGATCAAAACATTGTTATTTTTCTTCTCCAGCTCACAAAACTGTTTCACCTTAAGAATTACTTCTCTGGCTGCACTTCTTATCACTTTACGCTCCATAATCAATCTCCTTCCAATAAAAAACAACTCAAATCTACAAACAACACTCGCAACGCACACACCTGACAAACGACAACATGGCGGAGCTGTCATATTTAGTTCGACGTTTTGCCGTCGGACTTGAGTAGTGGAGCGGACTCTACCTGTCATCTTTTATGATTGTGGGGAGCTTGGTATTGCAACACAAATTGTCACAAACGTCGATGGCAATGACTGACTGTCATTAGAAAGAGAATCTCTTTCAAGAAGAAAAAAAAATAGATTGTGCTTGATTGACATTGGTGTCAATTCTGGCGTGATTCTCTAAACTTAAAACTAAATTTAAGGTCAGTCTCACCTTTTTATTCTATATAGAGAAGGACAAGGATGCACTGTTGTCAAATTTAAGTTTAGCTTTAGAGAATCATGCCAGAATCGACATCATTGATAGTTTTTGGCGGGATTTCATCGAGTGCGGTTGGCGTCTTATTTTAATTATTCTTAAATTCGTTCATAGTGCATATTATGAAATAAAATTGGTGTAATTTTGTGTTACAATCGTCTGCGTTACTGAAGAATTAGTAGAATCTTTATAATATCTGTTCCGGTCAAGTGGACGTGAGAACTATATTGTAGTGTTGACTACCTCACAGAAGCTTATCGAAAAATCCAACTTGATGCATTTCGTGCCAAATACCCCAAGAAACATTAGAATGTGTCACATCGAGATTCTAATGTAAAAAGAAAAAGAAGATTAATATAAGTAAAGACTAGACTGTATGGGCATTATTCCCTTTGCATTCCTTAAAACGGGAGAATATTAAAAAAAAATTGACATTGACAGTCAAGTCACCATCGCGCGTTAAAATAGTAAGTGGATGGCACAGAGTACTGGATGGAAGAGGGAGAAAATAAATAAAATATTATTTGAAGAAATACACAATAGTTGTAGAAATGTTCAACTACTTTAATATTTTGAAAAATTTGTAGAGTTAGTTAAATAAGTCGGTACTGCTAAACAAAAGGGACCTAGTATCTGCCGTATTGTTAAAAGAGATTGTTCTTTTAACTGGTCTATGATGTATATCACTAATATTTTTGTTTTGCTTTTTACTGTTCTGTCTCAGACAATTTCTGAATACAGTTCTTGTTCTGAGAATGAAA